CTCGATTTGGTTTTATTTGCTTTCACTTCGCTGCTTTCGCATTTCAGACTGCTCGTCGATGTTTGCCCTGGGGCTTGCATCGGGATTTGTTTTACTGTTGATTTATAAAGAGCTTTATGCACAATAATTTACCGGATTAATAGTAAATAAATGCAATCAGCAACAATTCCCAATTGTGGTGGGACATTGGGCGAATTTCTGGCTGATTTTCAGTTAAAATTTGCATACAAATTTTCACATGCAAGTTTTTACAAATGCTTATTACTAATACTCTGGAATTCGATTGCGCTATTCGTTTGCTATTCCACTGCGACATTTTTACAGAGATACAAATAAGTATTCAATAAAAGTTGATTTAAAATGAACTCATTAGAATTGTACAATTGGAATCTCCTTCTATGATCCCATTTAAGCATATTGTTACTTATGAAACCAGAATGCCTTCTTCTAAGGGACTATATCTGTCTTACATATGTCGTATTATCTATATAAAATCTGAATGCCCTTTTTAAATATATGTAGGAAGCATCGACTATGCACAATCAATTTTCTGAAGAATTTCAATATAAAACGAATTTTGATATCGTGAATAATAATTCGAAAAAGTCTAAAAGTAAATATATACTATACACTTTTTATACCTGAGACCTTATTAGCCACATTTCTATAATTAGTATGGTTGTTGAAAAAAACATTTCAGACTATTAAGACTATTAAGAAAATATATTTGACAGATACAATATTCTTATATATTGTAATACTAATGGTTTTACCGACTTTCTCTGTGATAGTTTTAAGCTTTCGCAGACTTCCTGGATTATTCGGGAATATGTGCTAAACGTTTTGGCGGATATTCTTTCATCGTTCTTGTGACATCATGTGATTGTTGTGCGTCATTTGGTACATTCTTCTGCGAACTCTGGTGTCCTTAGCGAAAATCCTTGCTTTATTCTATGGCCATCAACCATTATGCTAATCAATAGGCCGTTCTTTGCATACATTAAGGCGCCATAAAAGAGCCAATTGTAGTCATAACCCCAAACTCCAACAAAATCAGTAACACCAACAACAGCAACAGCAAGACAGGAGGCCAGAAACAACGACAACTGTGCGCAATTAGCGGATTTGGGCAACCAAAAACAAAGCCAAAGCTAGGGCCTTGTGTTCCCTCGGTTTTTGGTGGTGGTGGTGCTGCTGCTGCCGCTGCTACTGGCTTCGTTGTTGTTGGCATGACCGTCGTTACTTGTTATTGCAGGCAATTAAAAACGTACGCCCAACACCCCCACACACACACACACCCCCACACACACACACACACACAGAGCAGAAAAACAGAGAGCAACTCGAACCCAAGGAACATACCCCTCGGATTGCATAAACTTTTGTTTGATAATGTTAAAGTGCCGCGCAAACAAATCAAAAAGCATATTGAAATTGGGTTAATGTACGGAGGCAGTCACGGGTCTGGTCCGGGGCTAAGGACACTGCGTCGTTGTTTGCTTTACGGGTTATAATCCGAAAATTAAGCGCGAGCTGAGCATTAAAATTTGCGACCCATTCGCTGGTGGTGCCACCACTGGCAAACTGCTGGAGGGGGGGGGGGGGAGGTTGGTGTTGGGTCTGTTGGCCCCTTCAACGTCGCGACGCCGACTGTTGTTTCAAGATAAAAACTTCATGTGCGTTGGAAAAACACAGGAAAAGAGCAAATGGTTCAGGGAGTGGGTGTCGGCCAAATGGGTGAACATTTCGGCAGGAACAGGGAACAGGGAACAGTGAACAGTGAACAGGAGCGACTCTTATCGGGCCGGCAAGAGTGTTACAATGGCATATGTTACGCACATTGAAAACGTATGTTGAGTTTTCCGCCTGCTGTGGCAGCTTCCCACCTGATAGGACTGGTCGTTTGCGGGTGCTGGTGCGGGTGTGTGGGAATCTCTGCTGTGGCATGTACATACCTGGTCCTGGCCATGGTCCTTCTCCCTCTCTCTCTCGCTCGCTCAGTGGCTTTCTCACACTTCCCGGACATGTGCTGACTGTTTTCGCCGTTTTTCCCGCATGGTTATCAATCGGCCGATTGGAAATCCCCGCTAGACTCGCTAGCGTGAGAACTGACCAGCGGGTTTTTAACATATTCGTACCTGTCGAGAATGTTGATGGGAATGTGACTCAGTACGAGTACGAGGACGAGGACGAGGATGAGGATGCCCGCCGCATGCCGAGAAGCGCCGTGGCCGCAACTCCCACATTAGCATCGGCCCAGCGGAAGGTGACCAAGGGTCCAATGTCCCTCTAATTGCTTTATGGACTCTATAGTTTCCTCTTCCCATGCTCTGCAGCGTGGGAACGTCTAACATCTTACCTGTCCCCGGAGGCCACTCCTACGCAATCTTTCCATCCTCCCTAGCACTCTCCATTTTGGCCGCTGTCTTCTCTGTAGTTCAAGTTCAGTGTGAATATTCGTGTTGACTTTATTTTTAAACTTTTTTCATGTGTTTTTAGTTGGCCTGTGTTTGCCTCTAACCAGATTAAGGTCAAGTTGGGAAGGGAGGGGAATTTCTCAGTTTCGGATCGGCTCATTGGGAGGCTAGTCGAAGCGTGAGTTGAGTTTTTATACACTTTCCGGGAAGAGCGATAGTGGCTAGTGATTTATTTATTCTTCTACACTTTAAATATGATAATATTTAGTTCCGAGAAACCCCATGAAACCATTAACATTGAGCTTAATACGATATAAAATTATAATTTTTTTGTATCTACATTCCTCTATTCATATGTAAAGAATTTATCTTTATTTTATGGTTACAAATTACTGTATTAATATTAAGGTTTGACTTCCCAGATAAAGCTTTAACGAATGAAAAAAAGGTGGTCATATTTTTTATATGTTGATACAAAATATTAAAATACAATACGCCCGGGTACCTTTTAACTTCCAAAACTGATTTAATGTAACTTTTCATAAGTGATTATCCATCATTCGACTCATCTTTCCCACTCAAATTTATTAAGATAGGTAATCAGATATCAAAAACTTTCATGAGGTGATTAAATTAAATTCGTTTGGTTCAGTTTTGTCTATCTATTTGTGTATTTTACTTTTTATTTATTCAGAAAAATAACATTCAAATTGGTGAAGACGGTGTTAAGCCTTATCAAAATTATGGAAGAAATATGGAAATATGAGCACAATTTTTCTTATTGTAATACACTGCAAATTTATATTTTTCATCTCTTAAACTAGATTAAAAACTGGTCTAAAAATATGTATACAAAATGCAATTATGTTTTAACTTTATTTATTGCACTTTTTATAGAGAAAATCTATTCAAATCACTCGAATCATTTTTTGTAGAGTATTTGATGGTCAGTTATTATTTGAAAAACCTCGATATGCGTGTACATGATAATGAGCTGGCTGTGTCTGTGATTTCCTTCTTCTATAATTGAAGTTCTGACTTCCGTTTCTTTATGATTGAGCTTATACCCATGAGAATCAATGGTGATACATACATCATTCGATCTGACTTATTTATACGAGTATGAGAATTAATATGAAATGCTAAAGAAGAGCGAATATCCTGAATCATTTGTGACCCACTTAGGGATCATAAACTATCTTATTAGCTGGACTCTCGCACAACTCGCAGATGCTGCTCATCCCTGTAACTGACTCCTGACTTCCGTCCTTCCGTCCGTAGAGGGTCCGCGGGTCGAGGCATTTATAACAGTCGCGGCCCAAATGAAAACGCCTTTTTCTCTCATTCAATAGAGGAGAGAAGCTGCCTCGCCGGCTGCGGTGCTGCGGTGCTGCGGTGCTGCGGCTGATGACGGGTACTTCAGACGCGCATGTTGCCACATTTGCGTTGCGGATTAGCGGAGAATGCTCTTTAGGATTATGATCATTGAGCAAATCTGTTGCTCCTGCGAGTGTGTCCCGTGTGCGTAACGGATGTCTGCAATTGCCTCAATATTTGACTCTTGACAAATGTTTCATTTCTGGTGTGGCCGATACTGAAGGCTTACATTTCGGGCAGTGCTTCGAATCGGAGACTACGTGACCTGAGTCAATAAACTTGTAATTACGTGCAAATTCTATTCAGGCTTTAAAATCTAGGTAAATGGCCAAGTTCTTTAAAATACTCAAAAAATAAACCGTACGAAAGGAAAGAAGGAGAAGTAAAGCAGCAGGAGCCCATGGCTTGGAATTTGCCAAAACTGCGCCAAAATCACGTTCGAAACTATCAATGGAAAGACAACGACCGGCCACATGGCGACGCTGGCTGTGGGTCATCCTGAGCAGAGAATATACATACATACATATATATGGGGAAAATGTATATATAACTCATCTCCCTCTCTCTCGTTTTGTGTGTGTGTGTGTGTGTGTGTGTGTGTGCGTGGGCCATCATTTGTCTATTATGTTTATATACATATGTATGCGTGTATATAAAAGTCAGACTCCTGCGGTTGGCAAAGTCAACCTGTTGAATGCAGAAGTCAGGCCGAGTGAGATGGCACGACCGGCGACTTCCGGTTGCCATTCGGGTCGTGCAAGAGGATCAGAAGGCTCAGAAGTATCAGGGCAAATTAGTAACATTGCAAAAAGTCAATTGGCCTTACAGGTAGAATCCAGTTCAGTCGCCGCCAGCCAATGGCAGGTTGCAGCCCCGCGACAGGTAGATAGATCAGCCAGAGGCCGGTTTGAGCGTTGTTAAAACTGCTTGTCCTGGCCGAGAGCAGCTCAGTTACAAACAGGTGATCGCAGGGACACGAGCAAGTGCTGAAGGACTGCTCACGATCCATTTCGAGACATTGATCCACATATTTTCCAAAAAAAAAAATGACAAACCAACGCAAAGTGCGCAAGGATTCTTACGAGAGCAGATTGCACGGTTGGTTTCCGTTTTCAGTTGGGTTTTGCGAGTAGAGTCGAGTTTTTACCGGCTATGTGTGTACCAGATTTGTCAACGATTTGTGTCTGCTTCTCTTTTTCGTTGCAGATATAGCCAAAACGTGTGCCATGAAGGAGAAAAGCAAAAATGCGGCACGCACGCGACGTGAAAAGGAAAACACGGAATTCTGCGAATTGGCCAAATTATTGCCACTGCCAGCGGCGATTACATCACAGCTGGACAAGGCCTCCGTCATCCGGCTGACCACATCCTATTTGAAAATGCGCCAAGTGTTTCCCGATGGTAAGCTCAACCTGACAACGAATACTTCCTGCACAGCTCTTTCCGGATCGGATCCCTCAATCGGGCGGGAACTCACTTAATTGCCGCTCAATTTGGCTCTTGGTTTTTCATCTCCCGGCCCGGCCCGGCCCGGTCCGGGTGTCGCCCCGTGGCTATGTCAAATGATCCGGAATGTTTGACAGCCACGCGACCGCCACGCTCATTATGGAGTTACGTGTCCACGTATCCGCACAGCGGGATATGTTCCTTTTGTTGTTCTGTTGTTTTTTCTGACCCGTTCCGAATCGCAATCGGAATCGGAGGCTAAAGAAATTTCAAGTTTAAACGGCGACGCGGTGTTTGTTTAAAGCATATGTTTGTCAGGAGGACAGCGAGGACAGCCAGGGAAAACCACTCAACAATGGGCAGACAATAAACAGTCGAGCAGTGCCAGGAAGTGGGTGGGAGAGTGGGTGGCTAGTGGCTAGTGGTGGGAGGCTAAAACACAATGGCGGCTGTTGTTTCACTCAAAAAGCAACGAGCAACGAGAGCCGGACTGGAAGTGGGTGGCCAGTGGGTGGCTTGTCTCTCCATCCCTCTCTGGGGGAGTGTGCGCTGCTGAGATTTTCTGCTGACGAAGAGGGTTGCGCTGCACAACAGCAGTGGCGGGGGGAAGGCTTTGGGGTGGGGGTGGGGGTGGGGGTGGGAGAGGACGAGTGAGTGAGGCGTTTTGCTGGTGTCGTTCCCATTGTTGCGGACCGTTTTGTGCTTTTCTTTTCTGGCTTTATTGAAATAATTATTTTAATAATAGGCAACAAACAACGACAACCGCCAGGGCAGGGCCGAAGCCGAGCAAGGAGCAAGAAGGCACCAAGTACATGCCATACATAGATGACAATACTTGGGACAAGAACATGTTTGAGGATGAGGATGAGGATGTGGCTGAGGATGTGGATGCGGTGTGAGGCATGGGGTGGGCTGTGAATGGGCCACCTACGGCGCTCGATGACTTTAATTGGGAATAATATTTAGACGTCAGCAGTGGCAAGTAGGGCGCTGCTTGACGCTTCTGATGGTGGGAACTTTGCGAATTAAGCTATACCCATGCTGACTGCAGGAGCAATTAGGTTGTGCAAGGCTCAACTCACGAGAATCTCTATTCCTTGCAGGACTCGGCGAAGCTTGGGGCTCCTCGCCGGCCATGCAGCGCGGGGCCACCATCAAGGAGCTGGGCTCCCATCTGCTGCAGACGCTGGACGGCTTCATCTTTGTGGTGGCGCCGGATGGCAAAATCATGTACATCTCGGAAACGGCCTCCGTGCACTTGGGCCTTAGTCAGGTGAGTGTCGCCCGCTCTTTTGATTTGATGTGATTTATGCGCATAAATTGCCGGGCATCGCCGGGACGGCCGGATGGATGCCTTTTTGTATCCTGGCGGCCACTTTCATTTGCAAGTCAATGGGCCACGACGCACGAGGCGTTGGCGCATCAAAAGGCGCGGCCCTTGGAGCCCGGCAATTCATTTGCATTTGCATTTGCCACCAACTAATTGGCACTCACCACATCTCACCTCATTTTCTGCTTGGTTTTGTCTCTAATTTGTGCATATCCTCTTCTCTGGCTAGGTGGAGCTGACGGGAAACTCGATATTCGAGTACATACACAGCTACGATCAGGACGAGATGAATGCCATACTGTCGCTCCATCCGCACATGCACCAGCATCCAGTGAGTAGACAAGAAACAGCAATCTCTGGCCCCTCCTTCCCTCTAAGTCTCTGTCTCTCAAACCTTTCCTCTCGCGCTCTGCGATCACTCAAATGTTGTACTCACGCCTCTCAACCCCCTACAGCTGGCACAGACGCACACGCCCATCGGAAGTCCCAATGGTGTCCAGCACCCGTCCGTCTACGGCCACGACCGCGGCTCGCACACCATCGAGATCGAGAAGACCTTCTTCCTCCGCATGAAGTGTGTCCTGGCCAAGAGGAACGCGGGCCTCACCACCTCCGGCTTCAAGGTATGTCCAATTGATCCCACATCCTGCGCCGTTTATCCATTGATATAATTGTGGCTCGTTTAGGTGATACACTGCTCTGGCTATCTGAAGGCTCGCATCTATCCCGACTGTGGGGATGGACAGGGCAGCCTGATACAGAATCTCGGCCTAGTGGCCGTGGGTCACTCGCTGCCTTCCTCTGCTATTACAGAAATCAAGCTGCACCAGAACATGTTCATGTTTCGGGCGAAGCTGGACATGAAACTGATCTTCTTCGATGCGCGGTAAGTTGTTGAATCTAAAGAAAAGCCTGCTAGAAGTGGGCCTTTCAAATTCTATAGATGTGGGCTGTAGGTGGATGGAATTCCTTGACATTTCTGCATACTTCTTCGAATGTGTCTCCACTTTAAGCCCAGTACATTCGACACTAGACAAATATTTAAACGGGCCGCAGCCTATGGAAAAAAACGTTAGAGCAACCTCCCCCAAAAAGATAATGCTTTCAAAGGACCAGAAAAAAACCATAAAAAGGGAAGAATGTGAAGAAAGGGGAAGAATAAAAAAGGAAATGTAAGCAAGGAACGGGGCGACATGACAAAAAGAAAAACAAATCATTTCCCTCTTGAGCTTGATTTTGCCTTTGTCTGCGTGTGTGTTGGTGTTGGTGTCGGACCGGGGGATGTGAGGGGCTGCGGGGCCAAAAAACCAGCCCACTTTGTCTGACATTATTGTCACTCAATTACCCTCATGATGTTGCCCTGACGCGCCAGCGTATTGGAGTCTGTCCCACTCTGGACCCTTGCTGCCGTGCAGAGCAGAGCCGAGCAACCCCAAAGTGGGAAAGAAAAAGCCGCCCCTTTGGCCCTTGGTTTTTCTGCATAATTGAATTGAACAAAAGTTGACAAAAGTAAACCGGGAAAATACCAGGAAAGCACCAACACAGCACAGCACAGCACAACAGGGGAACCACCAATGTCCGCTCTCTGTTTAAATAAGCGAATCTGGCCTAACCTCACACTGGAAATGTTTGTAGAGCTCGGGCATAACCTCAACTGACGTCGGTTGTTTATTTGCTTACAGAGTATCGCAGCTAACCGGATACGAGCCGCAGGACCTCATTGAGAAGACGCTGTACCAGTACATCCATGCCGCGGACATCATGGCCATGCGCTGCTCCCATCAAATCCGTAAGAAAACAAAGCCTCGATAAGACCCCACCACTCTGCCGTACTAACCGAATCCGTTCTCCGTTTAGTGCTGTACAAAGGACAAGTTACCACCAAATATTACCGCTTCCTGACCAAGGGCGGCGGCTGGGTCTGGGTGCAATCCTACGCCACGCTGGTGCACAACTCGCGCTCCTCGCGCGAGGTCTTCATTGTGAGTGTCAACTACGTGCTGAGCGAACGAGAGGTCAAAGACTTGGTGCTGAACGAGATTCAGACGGGCGTGGTGAAGCGGGAGCCGATCTCGCCGGCTGCCCAGGCGGCCGCAGCGGCGGCGGCTCAAGCGGTTGCCTCCGTCCCCGTTCCCGTACCCGTATCAGTATCCCTGCCCGTGCCCGTGCCAGTGGTGGTGCCACAGTGTGCGAGTGTAGCGGCTCCGGCGCCGGGCACGCCGGTCAGCCTGGCCCTGAGTGCCAGTCCCAAGTTGGATCCCTACTTTGAGCCGGAACTGCCGCTCTCCGTGCAGCCGCAGCCGCCCAATGCCGTTACGCCCGTGCCGGCCAACAACAATCCCAGCAGCAACAACAACAACGGGGTGTGGCACCACCACCAGATGCAGCAGCAACAACAGCAGCAGCAGGGAGGCAGCATGGACCACGACAGCCTCAGCTACACACAGCTGTACCCGCCGCTGAACGACCTGGTGGTCAGTTCCAGCAGCAGCGTGGGCGGGGGCACAGGCTCCAGCGCCGGCGGTGGATCAAGTGCTTCAGCTTCGTCGTCCGGGGTCTACTCCACGGAGATGCAGTATCCGGACACCACAACGGGCAGCCTGTACTACAACAACAACAACCACTACTACTACGACTTCGACGCCACTGTGGACGTGGCCACCTCCATGATCCGCCCCTTCTCGGCCAACTCGAACAGCTGTTCGAGCAGCTCGGAGAGCGAGCGCCAGCTCTCCACGGGCAACGCGTCGATCGTGAACGGCACCTCGCCCTCGCAGACCACCTACAGCGATCTGAGCCACAACTTCGAGCTGAGCTACTTCTCCGACAACAGTTCGCAGCAGCAGCAGCAACAGCATCTGATGGATCATCAGCACTTGCAACAGCAGCAGCATCAGCGCCTGCAGACGCAACAGCAACAGCAGCAGCAGCACCAGCAATACCAACAGTCACAGTACGGAATGCCCCACCATCAACAGCAGCAGCAGCAGCAGCAGCAACAGCAACAGCAGCAGCAACAACGGGTTGTCAGCGACTTCGCCGAGAGCTTCAAGAGCGTGAATGCCGCTGCGGCGGCCGCGGCGGTGGTGGCCACGCCCCATTACACCAGTGTGATTGTGGAGCCGCAGCACTATATACCCAACGATTTTGTGCATTAGCAGCGACTAATTGTTGCTGCTGCTGCTGCTGCTGCTGTTGTTGTTTCTAAAACAATTCAGGCGGCGACCTGTCGCCCGCTGCCCATGGCCAGGTCAGGTCTTATCGGTCTATTGTTTGTGCATCTCTGATATATCAGTTCCATTTGTAATATGTGGCAGAGCCACACACTCCATATTGGGAATGCAAACTTTTTGCAAGTCTCCCGCTGTCTCTCTATCTCTTCTCTTATTTATTGCATACTTTCTTTTTTCCTTCGAGAAGAAATGAATGGAAATGTGAACGATGGAAACGGAAAAATTCTTGTTAACAAATGCAAAAGCAAATACAAATTCTATATTAAACTTTAGTGCTAAGACTTAGCTGTAAGATGTTCATACAAACTAACTTAAATGAATTGCACATACTTATAAATAAATACATACACACATAAACACAGGCATACATACGGCTCTCTATAAACACCATGCATACAAACATACTCACACACGATCTGTAGTAAATGGATAAATATGGAATAAAGTGTAAATAGTGCAGGGTCCGCTCACTGTGCAAATATCTAAAATGATCTTCATAAGTACATACGTAACTGTAAATGTAAAATTACCTATTAACGCGAATTTTTCTAATTTGAATAAACAAATTATTATGTGGGTGAACAATAAAGAGATAAGTATTCAATTGTTCCGATCGTTTTAATAGCCCCATATCCCACGATATGAAAGATTTGGTTCGAGTTTTTATTTAATTATGTAGTTTTAGTTACAAATTCAAATGTTCATTGCAAATAAAATGTTTATTCAGTTATTTTTTAATGTGGTGAATTTTATTAAATTTCCTTTTTGTTTATATTAATTAAACCGAAGCAACCAAATATGGAATGCAACAGTCCATCATCGTTTTGTTGTACTAAATCTTATTCCCCGATGCAAGTCGGAATGGATATAAGAATAAAATAGCTTTATAGTTCAGTTCACAAGGCAGTATAGAAACAACAATTATGCCAATTTTTGGAGAAACGCAAACGAAATCATCTGATTGGTTGTCGTGTTTTCGGCCACAAAAAGAATAAGGTGCTGAAATACAGTGAGTATTTCCCTATAGTCTGTACTCAAAGAGTACCATTTCAAATATGAGTTATTTTTATGCAAATAGGTCATTTGCAATGTATTTCGACCATTTTTTGAATACAAGATCCTACATTAACACATCTAAACGACTAAATATTTTCAATTTACAGCGTTACTATTTCGGCGCGTTGATTCGGCTGTAAAACACAAACAAAATGGCGCAGCTTCTTCAAATTTTGACAGGAATCAGCTGATAGATTCCTTTTGACAGAAGCAGTGTTTCTCTGTCAATTACGAGGCGGGAAATTCAAATTTGACCCCTTGGAACTTATTTTGTGGGTGTATTTGACAAGAAGAGTGCACGCCAGGTTTCTTTGGGCCATTGAAGAGCTCAAAGCAAACCTTCGTTCCGAAATCATCGCTATATCGTGGCACTGCAGAAAAGCGCCATCTGCTACCACTTAATTTTTGGCGCTGCCGGATCATGAAAAGTGTTCATGTTCGACTGAAGGTGTCTCTGTTGCAAGTTGTAGTTCATTACTACATGCTAATGTAGAATATAAGATGTACGAACATTTGAGTGTTGCAAAGTTTCCGATTTCACGCTTTAGTTTGAAGTGTTTGGCGCCAAGATAAAATATGTAAAAAATAATATTTAATTGAAAAGTTCTAGCAATGAAAGTAAAGTTGAACTATGGGCTTTTCCTTGTTTTGATTTACTTTAAACGATTCATAGCAATTTCTATCGCCTCGACTTGCTGCACTCATAGCTAATGAAAACTAATCGAAGCCTCGTGTCCGCCTCAGCTGCTGCCCCGCCCATTATTCATTTTGCTTGCTTATTGGAAAAGCCAGTTCTGGTGCAGCACAACACAAACATGTAAGTAACCCTTTAGGCCAAACTTTTGTTGTTGGCCAGGGATAGTGTCGAGTTGAGCCGGGGTCGGTTTCCCCCCGTGTGTGAGTTGTGTGAGTGAGTGCCATTGATTTATTGCCTGCCATTTGTGTGCCGGCCAAGTAGGCTTTTCAAGAGATGTGCTATCTGCAGATAAGCCCGCCCTGACCGGACCCTTAGGCCGGGCTAATTGTCGTTTTTCAATTGCCACAAATACTCGTACTCCTGGGGGAAGAGGTATTTGCACTTTGTGTTGCAATGCCGGGCCCTTTGCTAATTTATTTCTTGAAGCATTTGGAAAGTTTTACGCCTCGCCTGCACATAGACCGCAAATTATTTAATTGCCATCGGGCCATGCCCCCGAAAAAAGATCCAGGAATACGTACATACATACGTATATCCAAGAGTCGGAGACAGAGTCGGGGTGGGGTTGGGGTTGGGGTTGGAGCCGATGCTTTTCCTTTTGCCAAGCTGCTCAAGGACTCCTCTCCTCCTAGATGCAATAATTTAAGTGCAAGCAAACCGCAACTTTCTGGCTGAAGCACGCACACAGGCTCCGCTTCTCCTGGCCCTCCTCTCTCTGCAACGGGTCGATGTCGACTCAACTTGGCCCAAAAAGAGACAGAGATGGGGATACAGAAAGAGAGGGAGATAGAGACAGGGAGGGAAGAGTTGGGAAGGTCCAAAGGCAAAGAAGTCATATTAAACATGAACAAAAGCAAAATCGCAAAAAAATAAACGTGGGAGTTGCATCCCAGAAGTTCTGGTGGTCTTTTTGCACGCGCTCCCGCTCCCGCTCCCGCACCCACTCCTGCTCATGTTCCTGGTCCTGCCCCAATGCCCCAAAGCTGCCATGTTGGACTAGCCCTCTGTGGCTTTTGGCCTTGCGGCAGCGCCGGACAGCAGAAGCAGTCGAAATGCACTTTAATAATGAAAGTTGCGCCATTTTGAAGAACATTGAAAACATTTCGGAATGCAAACCTAATTTCGGGCTTAAAAACGCAAGTGCCAGTCCGGAACAGCAAAGTATTTCAATTTAAAATTCGTAACGAGCTTACGTGCCAGCTGGCCAAGACAGTACGCCTCTGTGCTGGTCGGTTCTGGTCTGTTCTGGCCTCTGGTCAGGCAGAACTCGATCCGACTCGGGCTCCACTTGCATTTCAAATTAATGCAAACGCAAAAGAGTGTGCCAGTGCCAGTGCCAGTGCCAGTGCCAGGGCTAGTGCCACACTGGAAATTAAATGTCAAGCGAGCTCTTTTAGAGATGCCAGGTGGAGTTCCATGAGCTCATCTTCAAGAAAGAAAGATACGGATTACGAGAAGACTGCTTTTCAGATTCCGAACATACATTTACGAGTTTGATTCCACATAGGATCCCTAAGAAGTAAGGTGGGATGGAATATGTTCCTTCTAAAGGCACTTTTGAAGTTTTGCTGACCATGAACTCAATGCAGAATAGTCTTCAAATATTATAGCAATCACAAAGTTCTTAATGTTAGACTTTTATATTACATTACCTTTCACTCGTAGATCCATTGTCTCAAATCTTTCTTTATGTGTTCCAGCTGGCGCATCTCTAGCCAAGGACGAGGTTGTATTCTGGGAGATTACCTGCTTAAGACTCATTGCGGTTGTGCGAGGGAAATTGTGTAACTGTTTTAAATTTGTAATGCGTGTGTGTTGCAGGTGCAGCCGGAGGCTTCTGCGGCGGCCCAAATCCTGAACCGGAGGTCTGGGCCAGTGCCGAAAGGTGTGTGTCCTGCTACCGGATACGAGTCTAGAATTTCATTGCGGCACACAGTTGTGGCAGTTGTGCAGTTTTTGCGGCTGGCAAATGGAACATTCAAGCCTATTACATAAATGTTTAAATGGGCGAATAGTTGGCAGCCCGAAATTGTCTAGTTCGCAATTTTGGGCCAGGAAGAAGACGCCATTCTCGATGCCCTTCAGCTTCAGTTCAGTGAACGCAGCTGTACACACATTTTCCCCCAGGGACCAGGCGGCAAGGAGCAGGGGGCAGGGGCCAACCCAACATACTAACGGCCCCATTAAAGAGTTTGGGAGCTGGGAGCTGGAAGCTGCCCGAGGCCCGTTGGCCGTTGGCCATGTTCAAAACCCGAATGAGGCCAGTTGAAAAGTGCAATTGGCAAACAGTTGAAACAGAAAAGTTGCAGAACGAAAGAAAAGACAGGCCAAGGCAAAGGCAAAGGCAAAGGCGAAGGCAAGAAAGGCAAAGCCATAGAAAAGACGACTCTGGTAATTTGTTCTGAGCGGCTTTTGTTTTGTGCGCCTTTTTCGTTTGGGCCGGACCGAGACGAGCTGGAGTGGAGGAGGGCGGACAAATCGACGGACGTTTCCTCGCCTTGATGCTTCTCCGGACGGACCTCTGATTGGGCGTGTGAGTGTCTGTCTCTATGTGTGCTGGATCCGTGTGTGTGTGTGTGGGTGCCAAAAAGGCGCTTAACCAACCTTTCCCCGAACTTTCGCTTTTCAATTGACCTTCTGTGACATTTTCCCCAATGCCCCGAAATTTATCACTTAATAAATTTCCTTTTCTCCCCGAACTGCTTCTATCTTCTATGGTAATTGGAACTGCTGAAATCGAAATCGAACAAATTGCGGCTTGGTTAAATTATAGCCCTGCCAAAGTCCTGGATTGCGGGTTAGAAAGTTTGGAGTTATGGGTTTGATAATTGAAAGTTTATTCTGGCTAGCTTCATGCCACACAAATCTCATGGCAAAAGAAAATAGTAAATCGATCCAAAGTTCTGAGGTCTTTATATACAATATAGAACTAGAGACTTTTATTAATAAAATTATACAATTAGCGCTCAATGCTCTGCGGTCCTGATGGATATTTGTATGCGAGATTGTTTCTATATAATAAAAATATATTTATAGGTATTATATACTTTTTTGAAGCATAATAACATAATAAATGAACTCATTTAAGAATTAAGAATCTTCTGGCCAGAAAGAGGAGGAGGAAAAAAGTGAAATATCTTTTTATATTAAAAACATTTCTGATAAGAATTTCAAACAGTTTCGAAAGGTGTTTTTATGTTACCAATCTCCCAGGTACTGGCACTAAGATGGTCGAATAAGTGACAAATAATTCGCGTACTAAGAAAGGTTATCAGGCATTTCAATATTGCTGTATCTGAAGGAAATATATTTCTCTTTGATGGGTGCACTTTCGACTTATGGGTTTGCAAAGGTAACAAAATCTGACTGGTGGCAAGATTATAGTCGAGGCTCTTGCCAATTCGATGTAATTCCAAGGTCATTGCCACTAAAATAAATTTATTTTGCTGAATTGTTGCCTGAAATTTGATTTATATCGCAAATCCCAGCGGATTTATGAGGCATAAAGTTAAAAATATTCAACAATTTCAATAAATTCGCATTGATCTGCATAAAAGGAAAGTATTTTCCTGGGGCTTGGATTGGCTTTTTGCTAAACTGTATCAATAAATGTCATAAATGCGAATAAAAGACCAGAAACAGCGGATATCAAAGGCGTATTAACGTTTTTACGCACTCGTTCGCTCTTCCAAAGCGACTTAAAAGCCAAATCAAGGAAAGGAAAAGGCAAAGCAAGACGAGCGGAGTCCTGCCTGGCTGGCTGGCATATCCTTTCGTGCTGGCACAATTTATGTAAAAGTCTTATGCATAAAATTGCGCATCATTGAGGTTCAAATGCTCGGAGACAGATTTGTGGAGCGGCAGCAACATCATCAATATACTTCGCGTCGGCATCATCGCTGGCCATTAAGTGCGGCCCCCAAGTCGAAGGCGAGGTCTCAAATCCTGCTGAGCTGTTCCCGCTAAACGTTGCGCATACGCCATGTGTGCTGGGGAAACTTAAGCGCGGCTATTAGGACAAATTGAATAATATTGAACGCGCTCTTGGTCTCCCGGTTTCCCGGTTTCCCGGACTCCGTCTCAGTCTCATCCTCCAGCTATACGATATTTTATGCATTTGTTTGTGACTTTGAAGTGCTCTCAACACTTTTCCCATTTGGTGATTTTATTTTTCCTCTCGTTTTATTTTTGGCTTTTATCAGCACACGCACAGACCTGGTCTGGACTGGGGGAGAAGGCTCAAGTCGGCTAAATCTCGGCGATATATTTTACATCATTATAGCTGCCGCTGGCATCTTCCTTGTCTCCTCGTCTCCTTGTATCCTGGTATCCCCGAAGCTCCCCCTGCTCCATCCCGACGCTGTTCTTGTTTATGTTTTGTTGCTTCCCTCGCGATTTTATGACTTTGGCAGGGCTCTAGCTCTACCACTACCCCTCCCAGAACTCGCTTGATTCCCGAACAAAGCTATTGAAGCAGATTCCGCTGACTCTCACTTTCCCCAGGCCCCCCCCTCTGGCTCGGAGTCCCCTTCCTGCCGCACTCAATGAAATTCATTTTTCGATATGTTATTTCTGCCTCACTCATATGTGAGGCATTGGTTTACCTGGAATCTGTAACCGCCCCCATATCCCTGCCACCAGCCGGAGCTCCCATCCTTCCTTCCATCCAGAGCGACACTTTTAGCATCATTATCTGCACGGCATCGAAGGCTCAACTCAAGCTCAAGCACTTTGAGTTATGCGTGAGGCAGACGCTCAAAAAACATAAAAAACAAATAAATGGCAGGGAAAAACGAAGTGTACACAAAGACACACACACACACACGCGCACTGGGGGAGGGGGAGGGGTTTTTCTTGGGGATAAGTCGGGGATGGGCAAAAGGCGATTAAAACATACACACTTTCCCACATCCCAGCCCATATCATTCAAGCAAATAGGAGAATTTTATTACCCGATTTTTCAGTTGAAGATTTAAGAAGTGCCAGATCTAAGACAATCCGATATTTTTTATGGTTTAGCTGTAGCTTTCAATGGGACTTGTAGGGTGCATAAATATATATAAATAAATCGCATACATTTCTTTTCTCCTCTCCTGGCAATGGACAAAAAACATGTGTAACATTTCGTTCGTGTTTTTTTCTGAAAGTAATGATTAAAAGTTGTATATATTTTTGGAAAGTGTTTTATAATTACGAAAAGAGTAAATACATACGATTACATTTAGAGGATGACCTACTTTAGACACATAAAATGTATTTCACATGTGGGATCAGTTTCTATTTGGTATCCATTAGTTTTTTTTCCTCTTCGATTTGCTTTGAGATGTGTTTCTGTTTGGTGTAATCAGTGCGGGATCTTGGCCTTCTTTGTGTTGGTTTCCTGTGGCTGGTGCTCGGAGTCGCGTCTCAAAGGCGCCTTTGTTGGTCCCTGTTTGATAGGGGACACGAGCCAAATGTTTGATTTTAAAGCTGGTTTTGTGGCTGTGGTTAACAATCATCTCATTGATGGGTTTAATTTGCCTAAGTGCAGCCTTCAACTGCAGCACTGTCGGGTCGGAGAGCTCGCACATTTTCACACAGGCAGCAGGACTAAGCCGACACCTCGACCAGGCGTTTGGTTATTTTTATGGTCCAGGTTATTCGATCTCTGTTGGCACATAAACAGGCAGCATCCATCCTATCGCACCACATCCATCGGGGCCGCTGCGGGGCCGGGGGGGTTGGGTGTGGGGTGTGCTTAACACACCATTGAACTGTTACGCAACACGAATGAACCCACACAGCCACACAAAGAGCAACACACACACATATGTCCGGCGGTGGCCCCGGCAGACAAATCCCATTTGATGTTCACTCAGCAGAAAGGCAACGCCAATGAAGCATGCAAAAGGTATTTCAGTTTTTCGTTGCTGTTTCTCTGGCTCCGGCTTCAGATTGCTGAGATTTTGGCTTTGTAACTCAAAATCTGTCGGCAGTGGCAGGGCCAGGGGCAGTGGCAGCAGGGGCAACAAGGAGCGAATGTGCAAACATCATGGAAAACGCTGCCCCAGCAACAGCAACAGCAACAGAAACAACTTTGCCAACAACAAAAGGAAATCCCAAGAAACAAAGGCAGAACGCAGATAAAGACGCTTACAGGCCGCAACCAAGGAAAAGAAAACTTTTCCTTTTTCGCTTTGCTTTTTTGTGCGCTGTTGCTTTTTCCGCATTTTATTGAACTTTAATTCATTTTGCAGTAGCCAGCAAAATGTGCAGAATAAATTGTTTTATTTAAGTTCTACTTTGTGCAAATGTGCCCCGTTCCGGGACGAAGGATGCAGCCCAACATCTCTGTCCATCTGGACCCCCAAGGCGTGGCATCTGTGAAAGTACATGTATGCTAGGGGATCTCCCCCCGTTGTCCATTGGGTCATAAAATGGCTTCCGGTTATACTTCAAGTGAGATTAACTTGTCGTTTACAATTTCCCTTTGATTTGTTTCCAGCCGGAATGGGGCATTGCTAGACGAGATGGCTGTATGGTTGCAGGGAAGGTTGTCCTGGCCGGGCTTTCGCTTTCATCTTGCGACACTCCTTGGTGGTGGCTGCAACGATGACTATTGCCCTGCACTTGCCGGTAAGGTATATTGGTTGTCAACAGAAAATTAGGAGTTATATGCCTATTCTATCCGGGGATTACTGTGCAATTCAAACCCGAAACAAATGCGGAAAAGGCCAGGGATTATTTATTGGGGCCACTTATTTATTGGCAGCAACTAGCCCCTTGGCCGAATCCGAAAGTTTATGAAAATGAAACATTTGCTGTGTGCAAAGGGATTGAGTTTTTATTTATTTATTCACAACAATCTATCATGCTTGTAGTCATGGAGGCTCTAATTTAACTCTGAATTTGAGTGTATGACATTGTCTGAATGTGATTAAAAAACCTTTGGGCGAATTAGTGAAAAATATATTTACTAAATATAGTTAATTGATTGATCGATGAACACAATTAGTATGATATTTATTCACTCGAATCTCGCAGTATATCTGATTTATTTGATTTCAGTTTAGTCCCACAACTCCAATTGTTAGCAACATCAGATTGTGCTTTTTTAACTGCCAAAAAAACAATGCTAAACCTTTATAGAAAATCTTTCTTCTTTTATTTGTATATTCCCTATTACGGGTTCTTTTGTTTCTATATTTTTGGGGAACAAATCGTAGGCCATCAGAGAGTTGTGTAGTCTGAGAAGTGCTCGCCTTTTTTCCACCATTCAGATTGAAAAATGCCCATGTAATTGGTGTATTGTTGTTGTTGGGGGCTGGTACAAATTGATTTACAACAATTCATTTTCGCCCGGGGCAACGGGGCAACGGGGCAACGCCAACCGCTGTGAGACCCAAACCAGCTGACCAGAACCATTGCGGGCCGCAGCCCGGGGAGCGGTCTCTGGGAGAGGTCTCAGGTGTGAGTCTTATTTGTTTTCAAATTGTTTTCCCCGCTTTGTTCTGGTTTCTTTTGCCGGTTTGTCCTGTGCTGGGCTTGAAAGAGAAGCCCCACTAAGAGTGCGGGTCACATTTGGTTGTACTTCTAGCAAGAGTGGGGCTGGGGCTGGGGCAGGGGCAGCCCTGGCCTGGCCTGCCACTAATTCCGTTTTATGCTGGCTATGGCTCCATAGAAGTGCACTCAGCTTTCACTTTCGCGCTGCACACCTTTGGGTAAACACAAAACCAAATCTGGCCCAGTTCGCGGCTGCTATGCAATTAAGCCGCGCAATCAGAATGCAAGATGAAGGCTCTGCAAACAATTGAATTCGGCGAGGACGCCACCTGGCAGGAAGCGACCGTCCTGGCCGTGCCGTCCTGGTCCTGGTCGGTGGCCCAAATGTTGGCAAAATGGCGGCCACAAGCTGCAAAGTCAACATGGCAGCTGACATCTGTCAGATGCTGTTATTTCGCTGCACTTTTAGTTGCCTTTCGGCTCCAGTTAGGCATCTGTGTTCTGTTGTCCCATACTGGGGAGACTGGTCGGACTTTGTATGTTTGCTGAGCCCGGCCGAGCACTTACAATGGCTTACTAAGGGCTAAATTGGAGCCACTAACGAGCAGCAGCAGATGGCACCTTCGATCGTGGAACTGCTGCTCCATCATAGCTTTGCGTTTTAGTAAACCTTAATTTGAATAAGCCATACCACATGTTCTTGAGATCATTTTTTATAGTCAATTCGTGCCAACTAAAGCGGCGCACAGGCAAATGGACATTCCCCCATTATGCATGGTATTAAAGAATCTTTTTTGTTAGGTTTACGAATGCAAATTTATATAATTATTTATGGATTGTGTCAAAGGAACTAATTTGAATGTCACGCTAATTTGCGACTATTTTTTTGCCGTATTTAAACCCCTAGTTCAGCATGTGGCAGTCTGTCACTATGGATCGAATGCTGATATTCGTGGGTGAGTAAAGATGATATTTGTCCTACTCTGATACTACCCTCTCTCTGAAAACCAAACTACATTCTACAGTTCCACTGCTCCTCTGGCAGTTGGTTCACATCCCTGGCTCGACGGGGGGCTACAGTGACTTTGAGATAGCAGAGGAAATAACGACGGTACGTCAATACTTGCCGGGACCTATAAGGTTGCAGAGAACTGAAGGACGGACTCGAAACACTTTGTCAATCGATCAAGAGAATGCTACATTTAATGGGGAAATGGTGGATAACTACTGTTGCTTCTGGGTGTATCAGAAGCATCCAGCGATTCCCGAGAACTGGGAGCATCGGGCAGAGTATCCCTGGGATTTCGTACTCAATGGAATTTTCGTGAAGAACCAACGAAACTATACCGATCCCGATCCAGTCCATTAGACCATTGGAAAGCCGATTCACCCCAATCGATTGTGTGCACTGTGGCTATGCGTTTAATTGGGCCCTGGCCCTGGGCCCACGTACATCTTAACTGAGGCACAAAATTATAATTAACTTTGTCTGGCTAAAGTTTCCTCAAAAGTTGTGATATTCATTCAGTGCCCCCAAAGCGGACGGAGGACTCTTTTTGTGCCTAAAAGCCTGACAGCACATAATGTATTTGACACATTATAATCAGGTTTGCATAGTGTGCTTCCTTCAGTCGTAGTCAGTGGCTCTCCCTCTTGTCGCCCCCGGGAGCCAGGAGCTGGCGACGTTTGGGCTTCTTGGGCACTTTTGACATGCTTTGCTTATTTGGTCAGCATGTTGTTGTAGTTAGGAGTAGTTGTTCATCATCAGCATTAGCATCATCATCATCGTCATCGGGCTGAGCATAAGTCGGAGCCGAGAATGTTGATAAATATGCAGCCCGGGCTCGTGTCTGGGCATTTACTTAGTTAATTAAATTCAACTTCTTCAGTTGAGGGACTTGACTAGGACGTGGGCATGGGCTTGGGCATGGGCTTGAGCATGGGCTTGAGCTTGAGCGGCAAGGGAGCAAGTTTAGTGCTGCCAGGCGAGGTCCTTGACGGAGAGTTGAGCAGGTGGCAAAGTCCTGCTCTCTGCTCCCTGCTCCCTGCTGCTCTTCTTCTTGGCCCGGAACTGGTGGCAAAAGTTTGCCCAACGTATTTGCTCATATCGTAAGTAAATAACTGGGGCGGACTCGATGTTTGCTTTTAATTTCGCCCCTCCTCCTTTCTTTGGTTTTTAATGTGTCTGGATGATTAGTGCGGATGCAGATGCAGTGCATCTTGACCAGGCTATTTGCATAATTCGCATGGACGGGCTTCAGCAATTTCCTGCTCCACTGACTGATGAAAATGGTGAACGGATTTAAATTTGCCACAAGGTGACAATACCAACACACCATTGGGACTCTGCATTTTGTTTCAGGGATGGTGTCTAGTGTGGGTTTGGGTGACTTATGCAAGCAAATAATTTCGATTTAAATCGATTTTAAATGGAATCGAGTGAGTGTATGTAAGGCATACAAGTGTTCCATGCATTGGCCATTATTCGTTCGGTTATATGAACATTTTCCATCAGGATTGCTTGCTTTGAGGAGCAAGAATGGGAGAGCAAACGTTATTTAACACACATACGAGTACGTACACACTTATGTAGTCCGTCTGTCTCCGTTTTGATGCGTAGCTCAAACAGAACAATCTTTTAAGAAGAAGGAGAGGCGGCACAAAGTCGGCATAATCATTTCATAAATGTGAAATAACCATTGTACACATCCATGGAGGTGGTATTGGAGGTGCCCGGAATGATCTTGTAGGCGGAAATAACCCATCTATTTTGACACCTGACAATGCATTCTTAGACTTAAGCAAACGAACACGAACGTTGTGAGTAGCAGCTAGGGCAGCGACTCTATATCCATACTGGATACTAAGTCAGTAGGGCTCACTCCGCCAAAAGGGAATGCTTTGTTCCTTCAGACTATCATATTAATCTGATCTAATCCAGACAATTCGACAATCTGGTACATATGGTCATTATCTATGATTCTGAGTTTTCGGCTTTTTCGCATAATTAAAATTAGAATTAGAGTGCGAATACGAATTTTACTTTACTACGACATCCAAGTTCTCACACTCAATAGCTGTCTTTCCATTTCTACTTGGCCATTGATATGATTGTGTGAAATGCTAAGTTATTCTCTATTTCTAAGATTTCAAGAGTCGCCGAATCGATTTTAGAACTTCGGTCGCTATCGGGGTTTAAATATGTTCAGATCAGCGGGAAGCTCTTAGTTCCAGATCAAGGCAATAGAGTGCTTTTAAGTGTAGTATCTCCATCTGTCTGTTTTGTAGATCAGTACGATTCCATCCGCAACATTAACTTGTAAACCGTGTTTTAGTCAAAATACAATACATGCAATTATTAAAATAAGCCAGTCAATTAGAAAATAGGTTCATCAATCGTATAAAACTATGTGGGCATGGCTAAATGTTCTAGATAGCTAGTAATATTCGACGGAATATCAAAAACGATGAATATGTATAGTAGAACTTGAGTTCGTCAGTATATTTACGGTATCTTTTGGTATATTTCTGAGGACGGTATATTTTAACGATCAATCCGCGGTCACACTGGTACGAGCAGCTGTATATTCGCGCCCTTTTTTGCAAATTGATTTCTATTGGACTATATTTCGTTAATAAATTGTTTTAACGTTTGTGTTTTTCGGTTTTTGTAATGTCTGTGTTGCTGGCAGACATTGACGCCACATGCGCGGCGCTTGGCTACAGCGATGGACAACGCTACCAGGCCGAACCAGATGCAGCAGAGGGTCTGAAGGTAACAAAAACAAACAACAGGGCTGCTGAAGATCAGATTGTATATATTTTGTTTCCATTGAATCGTCTTAGCATTTGATTTGGATCCTGAGACGTGATCTGGACAACCATGAGTACCGCCGCCACCTGGGACGCGCCAAGGTGCTGCAAACGGATTTGGTCTACATGCTGCCCGACTATGTTCACCACGAGGAGCTGTCGGACCTGTTGATCCGCCTGCTGGTCATTCTGACCAACCCCACGCTGCTACTGTATCGCGAGGGACCCCCCAGCGACAATCACGGACGAAAGGTGTTCATGGAGCTGATCGACATCCTACAGGGCTACAAGGCAGCGTTTGCCAAGGACAAAATCTGGACGGCTCTGTTTGATAAGCTTAAGCAGGCCCTGGAAATAGTGAGTATTACAATTTTCATACAGTAAAGCCAATTGAACAGCAATTAATAGAAGGGAAGAAATCGATAGCAACGGCAGCAATCATTGATATGCATGTGCAAGGCGGTCTCATAAAGGCAGAAAGTACTGCACGACACCGAGTACATTGCGAGGCTGTGAAATCAGCCCCAGGCGGCCAAGTTTCCGTTTGGCACACCAAGAGGCGTTCAAGACGAAGCTTGCGACATTTAAAAGGCATTACGCGGTCTTTGAATTCAAAATTCTTGATTAACGTTCTACCAGATTTACTCCAGACGTACATACGATGCTAAACAAGTGTGTGAATAGATGTCCAATTTCCTTCGTGCCGAGATTTCGTTAATTAGTCTGTGTAAATGGGCTCCTGTGGCAAAGCCGCGCAATTATCGTTTGGGCATTTGCGAAACTATTTCTGTAATCTCTATAATCTTTACATTAATGGCCAAGCGGGTACGCAAAACTTTTAATGGCTCTTGCAGCTGCTAGCAGTCAAGTTTGGGGGGAAAATGCTTTTCCCTTTTACCCGTTTTAGCTTTGTTTTGGTCCGCCTGGCTCTTTGATTGTGCTCGTCTATCTCTTTTGTGGGGTCCATAACTAGTTTGAACTTCATATCTGTCTGCTTGGTTTTAGCTATCCTTCATTCCTTTTTTCCCCTCAACAAAGTTGAATCCTTAAAGTGGACATCTCACTCTGTGGCCCCAGCACATCCAACAATGAAGTTTAATTTGAAAATATCCCCTAAATCAAATCAACAAAATTCGCAACAAGTATATTAAATAAACACCCACGACAAGTGTGCGTAGGGGCGTTGGGGGTGGTGCTAAGGCACCTTGGAATCAAACACTCCACATCTGCCCAACAAAACACCATTCCATCGTAGGCCCAGTCATCAGCGTTGCAAAAAAATGTGTAAAACCGAATCTAATTCGATTCGTGGGTCTATGTCTAGTCGAAACCGCAAAAGAAAAGCAAAAGCACCACAACAATGATGGCCAATCTGTGTGGGTGTGTCTCCACCGCACAAATACTTTCATTTGATAGTTTGTACATGAAAAAGCATGCAAAAAGCGAACCACAGGGAAGGTTCGTAGACCGCGACTTTACATACCCTCGCCGATTACTCTAGTAGATGTGGGAGCTTCTACGAATGTGAAGATTGTACAACTGCACAAGATGTGGGACTTTTGTGGTCTGCGTTTAAAGTAGGACTAGCATGACAATCTTACTCAACCTTGAATAAAAATAACAACAGAATATGTACTCCTAAACTTGTAGTATATCGATCTTGGTAGTACAGAATTTGGTCACAGCCACCGAAGTAGTAGATGATGGTCGGGGAGGCCTACAATCCGCTTGAGGCCGGCTCCTTGGAAATTCATAATATAAAGATAATCTCTGGATTTTTGTGGGCAATTGGTGGAGGAGCTTAGGGTTGATTGCCATAAAGTTGATATTGAAAATTAGCTTTGAATATAAAGTTGTTTCAAACTAGTTTCTACCCAACGAATGAGAATGCATCAGGGTGAGGAGTTATCTTGCTGTATCTGTATCTTAGCAACCGAAACAATAAAAACTTGAGCCTCAAAGATGGAAAAACGCTGAGGAGCGAAACCCCGGTCTAGCACAACGACACAAATAAATTCATTTAAAGCCGATTGAATCGACATTCATAACACTCCGGGGAGCAATTCCAAAGGATTTTCATGGGACTTTGTTTCCAGCGCTCCCATCGCCATTGCCAGCCCGAGGATTTCTCTGCATTTTCATTTTTTAGGGAGCATTTCCCTCTTTCCCTTTTATTTCTGCTGTTTTTCGCTTTTCTGCCTTTTTGTTAGGTTAAATAGAGGCGAATTTCTATATGGATGCTGTCTATTTGTTGTCGTTGATAATGAATGTGTGCGAGGATTTTTCCGCTGCTGCCTCTGGCTGTGCGGCTGCCACCGCCCCTCCTCGTCCCCGCCTCCTTATCGCTATGGATGTTGTTGCTGGCTGACTTTTTATGCTTTACTTCTTTATTTGCGTCGCGCCGACTTACACGCTTTGATGTATGCGCGGCGAGCAGCCAAGTGGACCGGCCAGAGAAGGCGGTGGTGAAGGAGGAGGAGGACTTTCGAGCTTTCAGTTTTGAATGAGCCACCTCCGCTACGCTCCGTTGTTGTTGTTGTTGCTGTTGCTGTTGCGTAGGGAAACCAAAAACGGAAGTCATTATTAACTTTGGCTTTGAGATGGGGCTCGGGGTCTTGGGCCTCTCTCTGCTGGCTGCTTCCCTTCCTTGCCCGGGTAGAGTGTCTGTGTCCGTGTCCGTGTTCGTGTCCGTATCCGTATCCGGGTAGGAGTCGCAGCTGGCTTGTAGGCACAAAAGCCGCATTAGTTGTATTTATTTTTAAGCTCACAGCAGCAACTGTAATGGCCTGGTTCTCCTCCTCCTCCTCCAGCTCCTCCACCCACATCCGCATCACCCTACCCATTCCTATTCCCATTCCCATTTCCATTCCCATACCCACCGTGGCATTCCCTTATCGCCCACACCCAGCTCAAATTGATTTCAACTTGACTTTGTTGTGGTCCCATCGCTTGGGCGGCCCGGCTATCCTGCCTTGAGTCGGGGCTTCCGTTTCACAGTCGAGCTACATAAATTTGCAATTTAATTTAATTTAATTTCATTTGATTATTTTAACTTGACTCGCGGGATTTGGTGCTTAGATTTTTACACTGGGACTTAGTGCAACATTTTATTACATCGACTTCTAATGCCTTCCGTTTTGACTGAATTCCAGGGATTTGCCATACGCAGCGAGGAGCAGAACTTGCTGATTGAACGTATCCTGGTGCTGGTGCGCAATGTGCTGCAGGTGCCGGCCAACCCGGAGGCCGAGTGTCGGGCGGACAATGACGCCAGCCTGCATGACCAGGTCATTTGGGCGCTGCATCAAACGGGAATGCTAGATCTGGTGCTGTTCGTCATCTCCTCGCCGGATGAGGAGCAGTTCCACCTGCACGGCCTCGAGATCGTCTGCTTGCTCTACAGGGAGCAGGTTGGTATTGGCTTGAAAGTCTTATCATTCGATTAACATTCGATTCTCTTGCAGAGCGCCGAATCCCTGGCCGACGCTTCACTGCAGCGCAGTCTGAGCGAGAAGCAGCGGGACCAGCAGGAGCTGCTGGCCGCTCGACGGCGCGAGCGGGCTCGTCGGCAGGCCCGTCCTCCAACGGGAAGGCACTCGCGCTTTGGCGGCACCTACGTCATCCGCAACATGAAGTCCGTGTCCGATCGCGACGTGATTTGCCACCAGGCCCTGGAGCGCGTCTCATCGATAGACTTCGATCGCGAAAAGCAGCAGCAGAAGCGCTCGCATCGCCACATCAAGGAGGAGGCGCAGGTGACCCGGAGGAGCGCATTTACAGTTAGGTAAGGCATATCTCTGCGGCACTCTGGCTGCCATATCCATTTGTCTGCGGCCACTTCCTGCACTTTGGCCTGTGTCTATTGTGTGGCTGTAGCGGCCATTAGCATCGGAATTGTTATAGCCCGACTGCCAGGCCACATCCACATCTCCATCCCATACCATTCCATTCCATCCTTATCCCGGCCATTGATTTTCGATTTTACGCTGGCAGAACGAGCCCAGCGAGTGAGTGGAGCCGGAGCCGGAGCGAGTGAGCAAGCGTATAAAATAATATTCAATAATAAATGAAGCCATTTCCTTTGGCCGCAGTCGGCAGTCGGCGGCCGCCCCATTCCCTGCCTGTTACTTACGTTATTTTATGGAATCGGACAAACGATATTGGCTGCTGGGGTCCCCCGCTGGGCTGGGGTTCTGGTTCTGGGCGACTGGCCCGGGCTAAACAATATCTTGGCCGTTTACAAGGCGGTGGCGCCTCTGTCGCCGCTCCCCCTAATGGCCACCTGGTGCAGCTATTTTATGCTCCTCCGCTAACCAACAAACTACTTAAAGGATATCCCACCGACGCTGCCCAGGATGCTGACTTTCCGGTGCAGCTTCAAATGTTACAGTAAATGCATTTGCCGCAGTCCCAAGTTTTTATTTTTCGTTCTCTATTCCTCGTATACCCTTGCTAGGAAGGAATGCCTATGGAAATCGTAAGAATTAAAAGGCAACTGCGGACATGTCTGGTGCATGACTGATTTTTTACGAGTATGTGTATAGTTTTCTATTAGGTAAATCCCACTTTTATAACTGAAATTTCAATTGAAATGAAATTTTATTTAATATCTGACTAGATTCGGGAATAATCAACCTCTTATGGAATGTCCAAGAGCATTCGAACTTCGTCTGAGGCGTGTACATGTTTTTCTCAATTTGTGGCAAGCATAAAAACCTTTGCAAAGATAAAACTGCAGCAGCAGGAACGGCAACTTGGCGGCGCCATTGGCAAGGCATCGGCTTTCTGCAGCGCCATCGGCATCGTCTTTGGGATCTATCTGCCCAGCGAGCCATGCAATTTTCAAGTAAAATCCTCAAAAGGTTTTTCCCATTTGCTGCTGCGATTTTCCTGCCGGCCTCTGGCAACAGTTTTGCTTGTTAGTAGACCCCACTGACTTTTGCTTGTTGGCCGGCTTGACTCTGCCTGGTTTATGGCCAAGATGCTGGTGGACCAAATCTTTGGGCGCCCATAAATTGATAGAGCAGAACAAATGTGCCCGAGTCGTCGCCGGCGGCTGTGATTAGACATCTCCAAATGTCCCATCCAAAGGCGGGTAAAGAGCAACGACGACTCCCCAACTGGGAGTAGTCGTCCGGGCACGTATGCGGCCAAAGTTCATCAATGTCGCGTGTTAGATCCCCGTGGCCCAGGCAGTGTACAACAATTTGTTAGCCCACCACAAGTGCATGTTGCAATAAGCCCCGGCAAGAGGTTGCCATTTTTTGTTTGTTCCTTTCGCCTGCTTTCGCCTCCTTTCGTTGCCGTTGGCATAAATTAATCCGCGTCGGCATCGATGCGTTGGATTTGTGTTCTGCCTGCGGTCGGTCGGCTGGCAGAGATTGCTCTCTGCACGGATGGATGGGTGTGTGGGTGCCTGGGTGCCCTGGTTGGTTGCATCTCTTAGCCAGCTTTGCGCAGATAAATTGGCCCGGCGAAATTTATTGCATCAACGTTACCAAATGCCGCTGCAGCGTTCTCATTTGTTATACACTCGTAACCTGATAGAGGACGCTCGCTTTCAATCAATATTATTGTGGTATAACCATTTTTCATTGCATCTCGCACCATCTCCCATCCAGCTAACTTTCGTATTTTCATTCAATTTTTGTGCTTTTTTTTTATTTTCAGACTGTGCCTGCGCGAGTACTGCACCGAGGTGCTCCGGTCCGCTTACAACACACTGGTGAGGCAGGTGCGTCGTGTGCTGGAACGCAATGCCGGCTCGTCGAGTCACGATGACTCCTATCTATTGTGGGCCATTCGATTTTTCATGGAGTTCAATCGTTTGAGTGGTCTACAATTGCAGTTAGTCAGGTGAGTGTGTGGCTGTGACTTACATTTGCCAATGTCAATGCAGGCCAGGCCTGGGCTTTTGGCTTTGGCTTCTGGCCTCCCGAGATACGCGCTGCGCTTGTCTAAAGTGCTCAAATTAATTGCCTGTTGCCTATAAGTTTCAAGTGGTGCTTGATGGTGCTGGTGATGGTGCTGATGAGTGAGCTTTGCGCCCAGTGGCTTCAGTGGCTTCTGTGAAACGCTGACCTCGACTTCGACTTCGACTTCCACTCGGAGCCAAGTCAGCAGTTATGCAAATCTTGGCCGAGAAGCTCTTGTCTGCTTTCAATCAAATTACTTTGCAGCCCACTTCAAATGAAACAATTTCTGCAAAACTTATTTCTTTGGACACTCGCCCTCTGAACATTTTTCATCAAATCAGTTTGGATCCGAAATTGAAAATCGCAGTCAGCTAAAGCCAAATTGCTGAAATCAGAGGGGTATCTTTAAGATCCCGTAATCCATTGGGAAAAAGTCAAAGTGGTTTGAATATTTCTTGGTTTATGTTTTATGGTAACAGGAAAACTTTCTTTGCGTTTACTTCATTTAAGGATTGTGACTTTTCTTGGTCATTTCGACTGAGAAAAACTTTTTACTGGGACTCAACTGGGATGCAAGTGTGAGATTTGCTCTCTTACCCTAATATATTGCTCTTAAGAAACCTTCTATCCTTAGTTAATCATAGAAAAATGCTCGGTGTGACTTTAATGCAAATCTTAATCAAGGGTGACGTAGATAGCCGTGATTTGTTGAGCCGCATAAACACAATTTTGAAGATAGGAGAAAACCCAAAATGCAGAATCAATGCGATCAGATAGGATTATTACTATAGCTAGAGGGAACAAACGAAATTGCAGTGGCTACGCAACGCTCTCCACGCCCTTACTCATTCCCTCTTTCCTTCACACACACTCTTCTCCGTGCAGTGTGCGCCCTCTGGCTGAAGGAGCCAGATAAAACGGCTGAGAAAAAAGAGACAGATGTAAATACAAAATCTACAGAAAAATGGAATGGAAAACAGATAAAATCTGATAAATTATATAAAAATCTCTCAAACGGGTCGACCGGTTTAATACAATTTTTTTTTGCAAAAAATCAATGCGTCGTTTTTGCGATATCAAACGACTTATAAAATTTATTGTATAAATTACGTTGATAAGATCTCATACATACTGACGGGCATAAAAATAGAGCCACGGCCTTTGCCGCGGCTGACAACGTTCCCACTCGTTTCTAAGTTCCATTTGTTTAGTTTTTTGTTAATTTCTTTTCCTTTTTGGTTTTATTCAATGTTTTCTTTAAAAGTTTTAAAGTTTTTAAAGTTTTCTTAATCGTGTTACAGGAAAATATAAAATTGGTTTTCTCTTTGGAATAAGCTTCAAAAGCTGTGAATCTGCCATAAAAGCCATCCATCATTTGAGACGTTGACGGGAGAAAATCAGAATTTTCCTCTTAATGGGGAGTCCTGGGGTCTTCGCTTTGCTCTTCCGCCTTCTTCCTTTTTATGACAAAAGGGAAAAGTGCGCTGCAAATAAACTTTTGTGCCACGACAATTTCCATTGCCATTCGCACTTTGCTCCCCCAACAGTTTTCCGGAAAATGGTCAAGCAGCGTGTCAATACAAAAAGTGATACTTTGCCGCTGCCCCCTGCCCCTTTTCCTTCTTCTGGTTCGCTGTGCTGACCGCACAATTTGTATGTCATTGTTCGGGGTCCTGGGTGCTGGACCCAAAGTACTGTACGCCATCAGGGCTTCGTCACTTGAGTTTTATTGCATTACTTTTGGAGAACGGACAACAAGCACATGCACAAATCAAAGCCAGGACGCCAATCGTTGACCTACGGCACTTGGCCACTTTACAACTGCATGGGAGACTGGTCAGCCTCCGGACTGGGGTACACTCGAATATTCCTTGGCCAAAGGAACCAACCGAATCGGAGACTTACCCCTGCACCCTCGATTCTGTTAGAGAGACATCCCTTGCTGCCACTGCCACTGCCACTACCAGGGCCACTGCCATTGCCAATGCTGTTGCTGTTGCTGCTGTTGTTGTCCCCATTCTTGTCCAGCATGCTGTTAATAAAATTTTGCGTTCTTTATGCTGTCATCCGGCTCCGGCTGAAGCTGCTCCTTGCCGGCATCGCTTCGTATTCCTCTCTGCTCGTCGTCCGCCGTCCGCTGTGTGGTGGGAAATTTCTTTAAAATTGTTTTGGTTACTTTCAAATTAGTTTCTGAATGACAACAATGAAGCTTTGCAAAAATGTTGTCATTCCGTTGGCGCAAAGTTTTTGGAGACCAGCAGACCCCATCCTCCCAGAAGGGGACTCCTCCGCACTATTCTAAGTTGCTGCTCGGTTGGTTGCTTCTGTTGCTGCTCCTTCTGCAGCTCCTGTCTTCATTTTTACTATTACTATGCCCTGGCCGGTCCCTCTGCCTTTTATCATACTTTTTCGTCTCACTTTCTTGGTCCTCTCTCCAGCAGGCTCTTCTCTTTCAGCCTTCCGTATATACCCGTACACATCTATATACTTGGCAACCATAAAACTTTCTGTTTATTTCCTCAAATGCAATTTGACGCTTCCCGCCCGCCCTGAACTTTCTTTATCGTCTGCCATTTTCTACTGATTTTGCACTATATAAAGCATGGCATTGCTGTAATGTATGGCCTCTCTCAGATGGGCTAACTTTCTGCCACCACCAACCCAGAAAAAGTGAAATTGAGTTTGTCATTTTGTTTATGCGAATACAAAGCTTTGACAAAGAAATCAATCGAAACGGTCTCCGAGTGATCGGTTTTCGGATTATGATCGAAATTGTCTACCATATAATATTTTAAAACAAACCTCAAGTGAGGATTAATAAAGACTGGAAACTTATACGTTCTTTATGTTTCGAAATCTGGTATACCAAAATGGTGAGTCGGAAAAGCCTCGTTTGCTCTTTTCGCTGGAATAATTTATAGACAGAATTCCGTGCATCAATCACAGCATGTTTCTGTTCCTCCACCTCCCGCAGCGATTCAGAGAACTCTGACAGTTCCGTGTAGTTGCTCATTGCAATTTTATTGATTTTATAATTTATTTATTTGCCTTCCTATTGGTGGGGCTCCTCCTTCTGCTGCTTCTGCTGCTCCTGCTGCTCCTGCCTCCGCACATCTGTAATTAATTTGATTTTAATGCCTCTTCAAATGCTCTCGACGTTGTCGCAGGCAGCGCCAGTTTCGCAAACTTTAATGGTCGCCGCAGCAGACGTCTCTCTGCTAATTTGGCCGGGTTGCAGGCGAACTGTGCAGCAGTGTAAGTGGTGGTGGGTGGATGGGTGGGCGGGTGTCAGGTGCTACCCATTGAACAACAACGTGCGGCTTGTCACCGCCCACTGGTCCCCTCCATATCCGGCGGGGGATCGGAGCAAGTTGAACTTAGGCTGGCTGGCGCTCATTTCTAGCGCTACTTAAAAATTAATTTTGTTAATGAGTTTTTCGCAGAGCGAGTTGGAAGCAGTAGTGGCAGTGGCAGGGGCAAGCCTCTTACCTGCTTTGCCGCTTGCATCCTTGCAACCAACTTTGGCCAACTTTAACACAGCATTCCAGTACTACTTAAATATGCGAAAATATACATACATGTGTACACATATAACGAATCCTTGTTGCCTTTTCCATTTCATTCGCAGCGAATCGTTGAGCGTGCAATGCTTCCACTGGGTCCTGACGCGCATGCAACATGACATGGACATGATTGTGAGCGACAAGAAACAGGCGCGTCTCTGGGCCAAGCGACTGCATGTAGCCCTTCTGGTAAGTCGCAGCTGCTTCTGTTGCTATTCCTGGTCCTGCCCGCAGTACATACCGTACTCCTCCATACCATACTGACTGCTGGCCATCTTGGCATGCGAGCTGTGCGGGCGGCTCTGTTGTTGTTTGCTTTGCCACTGTACGCGTAAGTGCACTTTTGGCTGCACTTTGGGTGCTGTTGCCGCTCGGCGTTTGCCTTGGATTACGCCGGTACTTAAGCCAGCTGCAGGTACCTTAAAGAACACCGGAAAGATGGGCTAAACTTCAAATGAGCACCGAGCACTGAGCTCGGTCCGCTATTAGTTAGGAATTGCTTTTATATCTGTAGGATTTTCGATAATGGTATCCGAAGAATGCGCTTATTTACAACTTACAAATACATGGAATGAATTTGAGAAAAGTAAATATGATTCGAGTTATGCCAAAAACAACTAAATGTTTACTTTTGATGCAAATGCTTTCAATCACTGAATTAGAGTTCAGAGATAAAAATCGACCTCTGAAATTATAATTACAAATCGAATGTGATTCTCGGATTTCTCTGGTAACTAGGAGAAATTCATCAGCCACGTTTATTAACAGATTCTAGCACAGCCCATGCTCGTAGATGTATCTCAGGCAAATTTAATCCACTTCAAAGATTCATCAGCCCCCTTCACACCGGAGGTTGTTGGTGATGGCCTCGAGCAAAGGGTAATGAATATGTGTACGAGTATATATGGTTATTCTCATTAGTAAGAGTCGAGACTCATTACAATGCAACACACACGACCCGCACAGGACCCGCTCAGGTTACAGATCACCCAATTCCTGACCCGACGCCCTCGGCAATCAACCTCTGAACGTCTGCCAAGTTAATGCTTACCAATTTTTTAATTAAAGACATTCCGGGAATTGCTGCAGAGCTTGCTGGCCCTGCAGAAGCTAAAGGATGACAACGCGCGGGCCCTCTTTGATATGTTACTGAACAACGTATGCTATGTCCTGGAGTACAGGGAGACAATACTGCATTTGTTAATGAACTACAACGAGGCGCACAGCACAAAGTGAGTACCCGAGCGACTAACCATTCCAACTATGCACATACATTGGGATCGGAAATTACTGGCCCAGCCCTTAGTCCCATTCCAGCCAGTAGCCAGGAGCCAGGAGCCTGGCCAGGCTAGGCTGCATTTCTGACAGTAAGTGGAGATGGGCGGAGACCTCATGGTATTCGCAAATAAGCAAGCCAAACACACGTCGCCTAATGGGATTACTACGAGTATTGAGAGTAGTTGCCCCACCGAAATATGCAGCGGCTGGCAATAGCTTGCCCCAGCCCGCACTCGTCCCGACAATCAGGCATTGTTTGTCTTAACGGCATGCCTTTGTCTTAAGTCGTGGTCTGTTTGGTTGGCTATTTGCTCAGATGTCTGCTCTATAGATATACCACATATAGACGGACATATTGTATGTATACGTACTATATATGCATGTGGAACTCCCCCGAAAGCAGGCAGCGATAAGTGAACTAGTTGCGCTTTGGCATTTGGATGGAACGCGGAGAGGGGTGGCTAAAAGTTTAATTGATTTTACAAGCATGTGCAGCACGCGTGCCCCAGCATAAGAATTATGCCATTTGCTGGGAGTCGATGGGAGCCAGCGCATGTGGCATACTGCATTTTGGGGGCGAATCGTGCACCGTTGCTGCATCCTAATTGCCGAGTTAGCTGCGCTCTCACCAGGGCACATACAGCCCGGGGCTGCCCCACAGTGCGGTTACTTGATAAATCACTGAAGAGCATTGAAAATTGTGTGCAGCTCCACTAGATTGCTACAGATTTTCATGATATACTTGTGGGAGCGGCAACCTGCTGCTCTCCGAGAGTATTTTGAAGTCATTAAGCTTATGGCACTCACCTAGATTTTCGGTGAGTTCATTGACTCGATGGATTTGCTTTTGCTACCGGCAAACACCTCACCTGTACCAACCATTGCATACGCATCAAGGGCCATCCGAATTGCCATTTGCATCATAATAAAAACCTGGATGCCACACAACAGAGGACCCCTCTCTCTGGCCCACTGTCATGCGTGTATGCACTTTCGATTGCAGCTGAAATTGAAGCGAAGAAGGCCCGGCCCGAGTGGGACACGCCCTTTTTATGCGTACCACTGCGCAATCCTTTTAGATAATTACAATTTTTTAGTGCCGAACATGAAGAGTTAAGCTCACTTGAATATTTCTAAATGGCTGCACAATTCGTCCATCAAACAGACTCCGCTCCGAGAGCAGTAGTTGCAGCTGAGTGATACCTGCATGCAATAAATGGCTGAAAATTTATTTCTATGTCACAGACATGCTCTTCCACAGTGGGCCAGTGCAAACCGCTGCAAATTTATTCAATATATGAAAGTAAAACAATTTCGAATGTGCCCAAAAATATCCGAAAATATTCAACGAACCGATTGGACAAATTCCTTTGGCGAAATGATTGGCAATTATAACAGTTTTTAATTAAATTGATATTCCTGACTTGGAATCTGATTTAATTACATAAGCTATGCCAAAGATACAAATAAAAATTTACTGCAAATTCTAGAATTTGGATTCCTTGGCAGCTGTTGAGGAATCGATAAATCTATTTGCTTACATTATAATATTTAGTTTCAATATGGGTTTGAAGATACTAGTCTCGTTCAACAGGAGATACGTGTCAGTGATCAGGTATCAGGTATCATGTCTTTAAGTTCTGGTGAAGGCCATTCCTCCCTATCGCGCCATCCTAAAAGTATTATTTATATTTAATATTATACTTTTTTGTTTGCCTTTACGTTACGTTTTTTTTCTTCTCGATTTACTGTGCTTTTTCTTATCATGTATCAAGCAAAGCTATTAATATTTTGATGATCTTTTCTGATGGATGGATAAGAAATTCATCACTGATCACGATCAAGTTTTCCTGGCGAACTCAAATATCACTGAAAATGTGTTCTTTTAGAAGATCCATTTGAGCTATATTACATAATTGGTTATTCAAAATATCTTCAGTATTTTTCACTGTGCATGGGCCCCAAGCAAATGAACAAATTGTTGACTGCCTGTTGCCATCGCCGGGTTCAAGTGTCAACTACGCATACCAGTGGGAGGGGGGTCCGGGTCCGGGTCCGGGTCCGAGTTAGTGGGTCTGTTAGTTCGGCTGCTGGCAATTTCAAAGCTTTGACTAAATTAATTTAGCGCGCAAACATGAAATTGACAGAGTGCGGCACGGAAGGATGCGGAAGGGTCCGGGTGCGGGTCCGGGCAGGGCATGGAGGGAGAGTTGTTCCAATTGCGGATGCAAATTGTGATATGTATCCGTACATGCAGCTGTGTATGCTGTTGCTGATGTGGCTGCTGCAGCAACTGCTGGTTAATTGGAGCATGATTAATGTGGACTGAGCAGAAAATGGTTGCTCTAAAGAATTAAATCGATTAAATATGAAGTTGATCTATCGGCGATTCGCAAAGCATTCAATTAAACACGGGCACACGGCCAATCATGTAAATGCGGCTGCCTTTTGAACTGCAATCAGTGTTTGAGCACTCGACAGATTAAGGATTTTCGTTGTCAAGATGAATAATTTATGAGTTGGGGCCCGGAGCCCACCCCACCCCACCCCTCTCCACTCTGCACTCCACTCCACTCGTGTTCTGTCTTCCCGACCTACCTCTTTGCCTTTGCCAGATTATTCGTTGGACGCCATGCTGCAATCGCGGCCCATCACTCATTGTTGTTGCTGTTGCCGCCGCTGTCATAATTAATAATATTTTCATTATAAACGTCTTGTGCCGACAACAATAACAACTACCCACGAATGTTCGTCTGCTCCGCTTGTTGTCCCTATGTCGAAGTGGGAGTGGCAGTCGCAGTCTGGGCGCAATTACATTTTATCATTTATTCAACATGCGCTCAAAGTCGGCGCGAAGACAACCCCTAAGCCCCAACCGTTGACCTAAGCCCCCATCCGGCTCCGAAAACACCCAAGTGTTCTAATTAATTCTGCTCAACCTTCTACGGCTACTTCAAGTTCTTCTTCACCCCTGCCCTGGTGCCCCTGTGGCTGCTGTCGTCCATTTAATCAACGTAAACGCGAATATCAAATCAGGCAGGACCCAGGACGCGGCGGGGACCAACAACAAGAAGTTACAAAACCGCGCGCATACAAATTAATTATAAATAATTTATTAACGATTTATCTTTGTCCTGCCGCCACATGTGCTTGAGCTAGAGCTTGGATGTCGATGTGTGAGGTAGAGGCGGGTGGGGGCATCCCTGGCTCGGACTCGATTTGCACCTGCGCATCACTAGGGCGGCAGATGGGCAATCGATTTGCGTTCGCTTGTAAAATGGTTTGTGGCATGCAATATGTTATGCAACCACCCACGTCCACGCCCACGCCCACGTCCACGCCCACGCCCACTTGACTACTGCCTTCTCTGCCTGCTGCGGTTGCTTGGCGTTGTGGTCAGATACCTGCAACCTGCCATCAAACGCCGCCGCCAGCAGCAGCTCTAGCTTTGCAGCTCTGCTTCGGCTTCGCCTTCGGCTTCTCCTACCAGCAGTTTTTCCGCTTCGCCTGCTGTTAATGCTGCCACCGATGCAGGCGACGACCACAGACATCTTTGCGGTAACGTCGACTGCAACACGGCAGTGCTTGATTCATTTCACATTTGAGTTATCATCAAATGTGCACCACACACTCACCACACCCCCACCGAGAGCCACACTGTCACCCATCCGCTCTGCACCACTCGTTCTCCTTGCAGTAAACTGAGTCCTCTTATCATCAATTTCCTGCTCCCCAAACCATCTTGCCCCCCCGCCCCGCCGTGACTGTCAGTTGTGGTCCATTGCTGACAGTTCTTGATCGGTACAAATGGCTAAATATCTTCGAATTGGCTGCTGAATGTTAAGGAGCATCCTTGCTCAACAGATGGTTTATTGTCCATTTGAATTTCTAGCTCTATTAAGGCTGTCTAATTTATTGCAGCGTTGATTGTCTGCAATAATTTTAGTAAGGGACAACGGACTACAGTTTCTAGTGGATCTATAAGGAATCGTGAAGCTTATGCGGCTCTACAAACCAGGGCTATCTTGGTCAGCCTTGATTAAGTTGTTCTCAAAAATCACACCAAGACTTTTTCTACGATTAACAAAGGCCGGAAGGCTTAGGGTATTTAAGGTAAGATGGCAACTCATACTTGCATCGCAGTTGAGGCCGCCCCGAGCAAAGAATAAAAAGTTTTTCTGAACTGATTCTATACAGTCCTGCGGCACAAAGCGTTATATAGAGAGTCTTCATTATATAGGGGTCATTAACTTCCTTTGACCACCTCTTTTAAAACCATGGTACCATGGTACCATGACATGGTAGAAATGTGTTCAAAAAACTTAAAATTCGGGTCTAATATAACACCAAGGTCATCAACCAGGTAATTTTCTCTAGAAAACTATCGCATAGGATGTAAAGAGCCAACAATCGGCTGGAACGATGAAATGGTATTATTTTATTTGTAAAAAACTGAGAGACTTTCAACGATTTCGCTGATCGCAGATTTTCCAGATTATTTTCTTTTCAAATAAGCTAAACCGAATAAACCGAATATTACGAGTGTTAATGTGGTGTAATAAGTACAGTTTGAAATATGCAATAAATAATTTCATCTGATGTATGTATGGTTGCAATTTGTACGAGTATATAATATCTTTGAAGTTTCATATTTCTGTACCCTCTCTCTGTATTGAATATCTTATCTAAGTTGAGTAGAAGATGCACGAAAAATTAACTAATTAGTAAAACTTTGGTAGTGTTACAAAAACATGAAAAGAAATTATCACTCACACGGCTTTTCTTGTTTTGAGCAGTGTTGTGGTATCTCAGAACTTCAGAGCTCTTGAATTATTTGCGTTTTTAATTTGGCTATGCCATCGATTCCTGTTTACCTGGAACGCTGGATAACCTGTTTCATTACAAATTCAGTTCCCCGAGCGCTGGTACGCAGGCTATGATCCCAGGTTGGTCTCTGTTCTGTCCTTTTCCGTGCTGTTCTCGGCTGAGCTCGGCGGCACATTGACCGCATTTCAAAATGCTGATGCTGGTGGCTGCTGGCATTAAAATTCGCAATGAATTTGCATAAATTTTGAACGCGACATCGCCGACCTTTTTGGAAGTTTACCATTTTTCGCTGGCAGCGCGATGTAACATTTTTATGAGCCTGAGAGCCGGGACCCGGTCCCGGTACCGGTCCTGGCAATTAGAGTGGACGCGGAAAGACTTGAAGCACACGGACACGGGTCACATATGTATGCAAATTTTGGGAAATCATGTTAAAAGCCGGGACCCCTGATTCCGCACCCGGCACAGCTAGCGACAATTTTTTAGAAGACCTAGCTTTAAATATTTGATATATAGACGTTTTTCACAGTTCCCTGGGTTTTTGTTTTAAACTGTATAACATTAATGTGTTACTAATGAAAAATGCGAACAGTTCAAAGTCTTTAATTACAAAAAATTTGATTGAATACGATTTTTAAATACCAGAAAGTTTAGCCAGCAATCTTTTGGCTTTTTACTGGTATCTACATATGTGCTATACCCATGAATCAAAGCGTGACTAAGAAATGATTGTGAATGGAATGATTGAGCTCTTCATAGAGTTACATACATGCATTCCTCATCCGTATAGTTTTAGGCATGGCCCTTCCTGATGTATGTGTTTTTTGCCCATCATTGCCCGCCTATTTTGCATACTTTCCTGCTCCGAATTGTCGTTTTGTGTGACTCGCGCGATTTTCATTATTCAAACGGCAATCAATCATTTTAACAAATTGACGTGCACAATGACGCAGGCTTTCAGTTTTTGGCTTGGCTGAAAACAAAGCGGAAGTTGGCTGCTCTGCAAAGCGGCAGCTGATTTTGGCAGTTTCGCGGCTGTCTTTTGCCCGTTTTTTGTTTCGGTTTCGGGCCTTTCCCCACTCCAAGGGTAATTTGCTAATTGGAGGCGTCATCGGCCCGACAGCGGCAAAAGCAAAGGCAAAGGCAAAAGAAAGGGCAGGCGCAGAGGCCACATCATCAGTCAGAAAAAGGTCTGTCCGTCTGTTCGACGGAGCCTTTGAATCCAGTTAGGTTAGTTAGTCCTGGCAGAGGGCGGCCCCAGGCGCTGTGGTTGTGGGTGGAGTGGTGTGGCTGTGGGCGGGCCAACATTTCCCCTATTTAACGTGCTCGATGATATTCAATAAATATTTCGGGCAGCCTGAAAAGGTTATTGATGTTCGGCTTTGATTTGTTCGCATAAAAGCTGAATGAATGGTCAAAAATGATTGAAAATCCTTTAAAAATATTATGTTATAAGTTCTCCTGTGCTTCAAATGCTAGCCGCTCAGTTGGAATGTGTGTTTTCGAGTGATCATGATATCCAGCTGGTTAATTGTTGGCGGTTAGGAATGAACATAAATATTTCTCCATTAAGCGCGCAACATGGAAATTGCATTGGACGATGACAAAAAGCATTGAAAAGGCAGGAAATGATGGAAGCGATTGAAAAAATCATACATTTGCCACATTTAATTGAATTTTGAGCATGTGGCATGCATTTTACATATGGGAGGCGGTCAACATGTAACAAATTCAATTTGGATGGATGCGTATACTCCTACATGTGTAATAAAAAATTTAATTACAATATATTTTCATTTTGTTAACTAGTACACCCTCCCCATCTACCTCTCCCTCTTCCTCTCCCTCTCAGGGTATTCCTGCGCGATGTGGTGGAAACAGCCAACGTTTTCATTAAAATGATGGAGCGATTCTGCCAGGACTCTGTCGTTGTCCAGGACAAGCGGCGCGGCGCCGGGGGCCGCAGGAAGAAGCAGCCGAAGGCCAAGTCCAAACAAACAGCGGCCCCCCAGCCCACGGAGGTAAGAGCGGCTAAATTAAAATATATATTTTTTGGTTTAATGTTTAAAAATAAATTGCCGCATTAAATAACTTTATTCTGGGCTGCTGGTGGTCATCGCCTGCTGTGCCCGCCATAAAACATACTCTAAATTGCCAATAAAATGTATTAAAAAGACGCCAAAAAAAAGGAACGTCAACGGTGTATAAAAACAATTGCCGTCTATGCGGGAACGGTTGAAGATTTATGCGTATGATCGTGAAATTTAATTGACTGAAAATATAGCAAAAATAATAAAAAGACCAGGAGAAGGCAGTCTAGGGTCTAGGCGATGCTTTTGCGAGTGTGGCTGCTGGTTAAGTGTGTATGTATATTCTACTGGGAGTGCAATGCTTTTTATGCGATTGAATGTGACCCTAGCACATGCACACGGCGACACGGGCACACTAGCAGACCCACACACGCGCCCATCGTGAGCAGCTTTGGGCGCTGGGCTTACCAGGTTTCCGTTGTTTTTCCGCAGCTCTGACTCTTTTCAAGCTGCTCAGAGTTTTTGTTTGTTTTACTGAAATACTCTTAGGAGGTCAAGGGAATAAACATTCTGCAGAGAGTGCTTAAAAGGGCATTTGCACTACTTCTATAGTGGATTGGGCTTAGTAAATATTTTATTTAGATAATACAAAAACCTCAAAAAAAAGACAAACAGTTTTTCTGTAATTTCTGAGGTTGAGAGATCACAGTTTAGTGTATCTTCGGTGCGTAGTGCCAGTTCTGTTCTAGCCCCATTTATTCAATATCTAACCATCTTTTGTTTTTCTACACTTTGTCGCGCTGGGACAGGAAGCGCCGCTGAGCGTGACTTCCGGCCACTGGCCACAGGACACAGGACTACTGGATTCCGACTGTCGACTGCCGATGCTTGCCACAACCGTGTGGAACCTGCACAGGCAGTCAGGCAGCCGCTTAGCATTTGTTTTTTTTTTTCGTTTTTGTGGCCGCCGTTTTGGGCCTGTTGGACGCAAGGTGGTCAGAAGGCACGGACAAGGACATGCATGTGGATCGGGCAGGGATATGGACACTGGCCCTGACTCGGCTAGGGACAAGAATGCCTTTCATGCAACAGCCTTCGATTGTGTTTAATTTTGACATATTTTCCCGAATTGTTGTTGTTTTCCGTGCCTTTGTAGCTGCCACACAAGCACACGCATTTCGCGCATCAATTTTTCAACAATTAATTTATAAATATTTGTCATTGCCGGCGAGCAAGCGAAAAACATGACAAACGCACACAGGCACAAATATTTGCATGTTCCTCCCTTTTCGGCAAACAAAAGTTAAACGAGTGATAAACAAAATGTATAAAATTGTGTAACGTGGAAAGCAAACAAAAGAACTGTGGAACAAAAAGCGAAAGCCAAAGAAGCGTCTGCCGACGATACGATACCTGGTAGTCGGTAGTCAGCGATGATTCAAATGATTTCCCTCTGAAAGACATATATTTAAACATCATAAATATCTATTTTCTCCTAGAAGCAAGTCGAATTTTCCAGACACTCCAGGTCCTATAACCTTGAAAAGTGTCATTATAATTGTTGGTAACCTATGGAATTATTTAAACCAGATTACCCGAATAAAAATTCAAAAGTTTTAAAAGCCTTTGCACATACATATGTGTGTATGTATGTACATAGATACTTGTATATACCTTTCGTATACCGCGTATGAGCAGAGATTTTCACTTGCCATAAATTTAATGAAATGAAAATACTTTGCCATATGCCATGTCCTTGTATTTAGAAGGACGCCGCGTCATCCATCGGTGTTCAATTAATATGCATTGTAAACAGAACTGATAAGGCAAAAAATTCGAAAACAATGGTTTACAATTATTTTCTTTTATGAAAATATACAGCAAATAATCAGAAAGAATATCAGGCTGCAGCATCGGAATACTCTTGCTTGTTTGTGGATTTCGAATATTTCAATTTAATTCATTTTAATAATATGATGTAAATTAATTTATATAGCCCTGCTTATATCATCGGACAAGGGGGTTGTCCCATTTGGACAGGACTCAGTATAGAGTCTGCAGATTCGACAAATTTTTTGCCATATCCATGACTAAATCGAAATACTCCATGGTTTGGCTGTTTGGTGGCCAGCTTTGAAAAAATCCAATAATTAAAATCATTTTATTTGCATTTTAATCTCTATCGCAATGTGTGTTTTATTGAATGTTTAACTTCCTGGGCATTTGTCTCTTGTCACATGCATATGGCCGAGAAATGTTAGTAGATATTTGGTAATAATTACTGTTGCGTTCCGTGGAATTAATTTTGCCATTTCTGCATTTTTCCATTGCGCCCAATTTCCTTTTGCGATTATCTATTATCTATTTTCAAACAATTCCGATTCATAAATAATTGATTGTTGGGTAATTGCAGGACGAATTATCGAGCAAATGGGCCGAAATGGCATCGGAAGTGTGCACCGTGCTCTTCGGAGAACTGGTCCTTCCAGAGGACGAGCGGCCCATTCCCTTTGATGCTGCGTCCGATAAGTCAATCGATGATCAGCGGTGAGCAAAACATACCAATAAGCAACTTTTGTACAGCTTGTTCTTATTATATTATCTCGCTTCTTCCCTGCTGACAGCGAGGACTGCATGATCCGCATAAATAAACTGCTTCGCACCGAGAAACTGGAGCAGGCCATTGCCCTGCTTCGGGCTGCCAGGTGAGTTTCTGGGCTGCGGTCTAAAGGGCATCAAACGTTATATGTATATAAGCCGGTCTCTGGCGTTGCCAGGCCGCCCTGCCAGCTGCGTTGCCATAGTGAACTTTGCCATCAAATTGAGCAACAACTTGCAGCCGTAATCCCTTTGAAAATATTTCTTTTAATAACTTGACATTGACTATTGGCCCGGGCCGTTGCGGCATTGCTCTGAAAAGGTACAAAAGAAATTCGCATAATAAATTAACTCTGGTAAAAATGGGAAGAAAAAACCGCTCGGTCCGCCTTCCAGCCGGACAGCATTCTCAGGGCTTTTGTCCCACTTCGCTGGCTTTTATCGAATTTTATTCTCTTGCTGTTTGCTCCTCATACTCGAATTTTTTTCCGCCCGACTCACTGGCACGGAGCGAGGTCGGCGTGAGCTCTGGGCTGCCCTCAAATTAAATAGTTTTTATTTATTGTTAAGGCAGAGCACGATGCAGTTGCTCCTCAGCCAGGTAACTACAGATAATGGCGCTCACGGCACTCCACGGTATGTCCTTGGTGTGCTGGTGGTCTTCGCCTGATAATGAGAATAAGAACGAAAAGGAGGAAAGGTGCTGTGTGCTCTGTGGTCTGGCGGGACAGGAGGTTGTGCAGGACCATTTCAACTCTGGTTTTTGTCTCTTTCGTGTGCAATTTTTCAGTCAACAAACCACAGCGGCCCACGCGGACAGATCGTCTGGCTAGGCTGGAGTGAGCTCTGGGTTCAGAGGATGTGCTTGCCTTTCAATTTAATTGCCCGCTCAATTATGTAAAGCTCATTGAAGACGCGCCCAAGAAATGTTGATTGTTTGTGCTGGAAAATTTCGTGAAAATAATTTATCTTTTGCGCGTCAACATTTAAATAAGACCGACACACAGAGGTAGAAACAGAAGGCAGGCGGCAGGGCCACCAGCAGCAGCCTCGACAGATGTCGCCTCGTCAAAGGCTGGCAGAGCAATCGAAAACGTGGTTTAAATGTTTCCAAGTCATTTAATTACAACCTCATTAAAATTTTCCACCTGCTGCATGCTGGTCCTGGTCTGGGGCTGCCTCAAAGGATTCCAGCCCGACGGCATCGATGAGGGGCGACCTCTGCAAATAGTCGAAGGCTTCGATGCTGGATGTTTGTCTCCCGTTTAAGTGGTTCGAAACTGTCTTCCGTTTCATTGGGGAAAGAGCTATTCCCTCAGTTCTTTCGTTCCGTTTGGTTCCCTTATGATGCACATACATTTTCCCAAGCAATTTCCATTGTCAAACTTTCTCGAAATTTATGTACATTTTAATTGTTGCCAACGAAAATGTTTGTATTAATATGTATACCATTTTTGCCTGCTGCCCCCTGCCCGGCTGCTGCTGATGCTGCAGTGGCAGCTTAAAAAGGTCTAGACGCTTTTTGTGCTAATAAATTAAAATGCGATATGCATATACTGGTAGAGCAGACCCAAAGCATGCACCCACTGCCTCTGTCTCTGTCTCTGTCCCTGCCACTTCCACGGCCCACGCCCTCGAAGCCCACACTTTTGTCTGGCCATTGTCTGGAACTTTTTGTGCCCCCGTTGCCTAGCACTCACGGCTCGGGACAGTTACACTCACTTTGTGCCGCATACCCTAATAGAGAGTCTCCACATTGTTGTCATAAATTAATCAAGGACAAGAGATTCCGCTTTGGCCGGGATAATTTGTACTCCTTCTAGACATAGACACAAATAGTTCGCCCATGAACTAAAAACTCTATTTATTAAGAGTATTCTATAGTTCGGATTAGGCGAGTCCATTAACTTTCATCTCCTCTGGTATATTATACTGTTTTTCTCGCATAGAGAACATTTTTGGGTAAACAATATATTGAAAATAAACTGGAGTCGGTGGGTGAACAAATTCTCGCACTGGGTTGTGTCTGGTTTGGCGTGGATGTAAGTACATTTTGCATGTGTGTCCAGCATTTTTAAATAGTTGCCAAGTCACACTATTAGGGGTTTTCGTTTTAGCTGGAATAAAAAGAAGAAATGAAATTGGAAGCGTTTTTGGTTTTTTCTTCTTTTGCCTCGGCGCTGGCTTAATGGGTGCACAGAAATGTCAGCTTGGAAAAAACAAACTTTTAAGTGAAGTAAATGCGCAAAATGTTTATTCAAACTTCACTTTGGTCGGAACTTTCAGTCCTTTACCCGTCTTACCAGTATCCCCAGCCCAGCCCAGCCCAGCCCAGCCCATCCCAGCCCATCCTAGCCCCGGCCTGGCTCTTAACTAAGCTTATTTAAGCGTCTGCTGATGCGCTTATTTAGCATAGCAACGGAAGGCTGCTCCTTCTACTGCCCTGCTACTGTTACTTCTATGGCTGCATCTCTTGTTGATTTTGTTGACTGTGAATATTTAGCATTTGCTGCTTTCACGAGAAAGCTGGCGTACAGCTCGTGTTTTTCAAATCAACAGACATTCATTTGCGTTAAAGTAGGGAACCATACTTTTATAAAAAGGCGAATGGCAATCCCAATCAGCCAATGCAAGAAACCCCATCTATAACACATTAAATTGCTCTCGAACCACTCTGCGATTTGGAGGGTTAAAAAAGCAATTGCCTTGAGATTGATTTGAAAACCAATAGCCGCCACAACTAATGTCGGTATTTTAATTCTGAAATAATAATGAAAGACAACGAAAATATGTAAATAAATACGTGGAACAGCTCGTTATAACATATTATTTATTTAATCACTGCATTTGTCGGGCAATGCCTGGAATTTGAGCATGAACAAGATGTCATCATAATCCTGCTCTGGCGTGCGTATCGATTTATAATTAATCTGGTTTCGTTCAATGTGATTATAAATAGCAGCTTTGTGCAGCATTTCGCTCTGTTCCGAAATAAACACGACAATATAGGAACTAATCTAACTTAAAAGCCAAAAGCCTCCTCTGCCCCCCATCCTCTGACCCGAAGCCCCGCCAACCACTTTGATGGTTTTCATAGATTTTCATGGTTTATAATTAACCAATACTCGTTCCTGACCAGGCCAAGGCACACCACTATGCAAAAACCGCTAATTATCGTCGTGCTGCCACCACTGCCGCCTGGGCGTGGGGGATGGGGCAACACTGCTCACAAAATATGTCGCATAACTTTTAAATGACGTAAACCAAAACTGCTGACCCCCTCTTCCCACACCACAGCCACAATGATGTTGCACTGTTGTTGCTGTTGCATGCAGCTGCTAGCATGCGGTAGCTAACAAGCACTCGGCCCCACCAGCCTCTAAAAATGGGACCCGCAGGGTTACAAACGGAACTCGCAACAACTAATGGAGTAGCACTGTTCAAATTTATATCCACGGTAGTCGAAGAATGGAATGTTTTGTGTTCTTGTAGATACATGTATCTACATGCATCACAAGAACAAACAGTAGACTTCGACGTTTTAATCTTTCAAAGATTAGGTTCTACATATTTTGGACTATAACCTAGAGCCACCAAATCTATAGACTTCTGTTAAGTTCATGAAGATTAATCTGTGGAACCTTGTTCTTTTATGTAAACACCAATCACTCAATAATAATGATGTTGCAGTCTGTTCTTAACCAGATATCCTCAATATATGGTCCTTATCGGGCACATTTTTACAGCCAGAAATGCGAAATTAATACAGAATATTACTGGAAGCTCCATACTGAAAATATTTTATAGTGCGCGTCCATAGCCTGAAAAAACTGTGTTTAAATAAAATCCATACATACATATGTATATGCTCTATATTTGTATGTAGAATGTTCATGTTCACAGATCCTGATACTCGGGCATATTTCGGGTATCCTTTAGTCGAAACCCTGCAAGACTGCAAGAGAGAGTTGCAGAGTGTGTCAGTGAATTTATTGGCTGGGCGACAGCGAAAAGCATAAGTTGCACTATCGCCTACGAACACGAACAAATAAGCATAAATATGTCGCTTAGAAAGTCCCACTGCCTCGTCCTCCGTCTGTGGGTTTGTGGGTCTGTGCCTCTGTGGCTCTGTGTCTGGTGGCAGCTGATATGCCAAAAAGGAACTGACACACTGCAGAAGGCCAGTTTATAATTGGAGTACGGGGAGCTCCTGCCAGTCACTATCTCTTTCTCGTTATGTTCTTGCTGTGCGTTGCATTTTAAGCTGCTTTCAAATATTAAATTAACAGCGACCACGTTGCAAAAAGCCTGCAAGCGTGGCTTGCATCACCAGAATGGTGGGGATTATTTGCGTGCCGCACAAAAAGGGTACCAAGGAAAGCCGACACAGAGGAGAAAATGCAACATGCGAGTACTGGCCAAGCCTGGGCGCCGCTGGAAGCTGAATGGTGCCTCCTGCCACATGAGACGCAATTTTAAACGCATCAATTTCAGTTTGAGAGAGCTAAAAGCTTTGCTTGTTGCATCGCGCTTGTTGATGTGTTTGGATTTTTGCAGCCTGTCAGTCGCTTGTTATTTCAGCCATTGTTGTTGCCGCTGCTCCCGGCGTGGCGGTTGCTGATGAGGATGATGATAGGGGTTAGGGTGCTAGTGATTTCTATAGGCCTTTCAGAAAAGTTTTCCACTCCGAATTTGCCACAAAATCGAGCAATTTTATCGAGCTCGCAAATCGATTTTTAGCAAAATTTACATGGGGTATAGGCCTGCAGTTTTGCCAGTTTTGTCTGTAATGAAGATTAAACCGTATGAAGTATTTCAAATGGAATTCAGTTGGTGAGCTTAGCAGGATATACAAACCGAACACAAATGATCAATGGATGTTACAGCAAAAGGAATTTGCTGGCATAAATTGTTGCTATGCGATGAAAATAATAGCAATAAAGAAGTTATGTTCATATCTTATGGGTCAACTATAAAACCATAAAACTTTAAACTTTTGACCATAAACCATGGACAGAAGGTTCTTGGATACCAAACCTGTAGCAGAGTGACAATTATAAGGACTAAACCGCCTATAAGTTGATCCGCAAAAACATATATGTATAATAACATTGGATTTATGCCATGAGTTCCCTGATGGCGAGTTCGCGATGCAAATTTAATTAACGGTTGTTAATCCGATTCGATTATTGATAATCATTTATAATAATAATATCTTCGCAAGCTGATATTCCGGATAAAACTGGTTTCCAATTAGTGAACCACGGCAGCAACTCTCAGAGACTCCCGAGTGATAATTAATTTTTCTACGCTTGCACTTAGCACGTGCTTTGCTCCTTGTAAAGATACATACATATACATATTTTCAATATATTTTCCCATTCTCGTTCTAACGTATTTCTTGTATGGTTCTCATTCGTGTTCATGCTGCAGGGAGGTCTGGCCGGAGAACGAGGTGTTCGGCGCCGTTGCCGCTGCACCCAAAGATGAGCTGCTGCTTCTGCGTGAGATTTTCATGCACAATATTACAACAGGTGAGTCGAGAAAGGTGAAACGGGTGGGGAGGCCCGCCCACTGCCAACATTTTAATTATTGTTTATTACTATGCATTATGAAGGTAGCATGCCCGCGCGACCAGAACCAGAGCCAGAGCCAGAACCATCGCACAACCTTCTTCTGACCGTTGTTTTAATTAAAAATGAAAATCTGCCACTTGGCTTTTGCGTGTCATTTATCTTGCGCTGTCTACTGTCTACTGTCTGCTGTCTTCTGGCTCGTGTCCCTGGCCCTTCGCGCTGCGTCCTGGACAGTTGGGGCCACTTCCGGTGCAGTATTTTGCATCTCCACTCTATAAATTTGCTGGCTGAAATAAGCCAAATTATAGCGTAACTTTCAGCTGACTTTCTCTCTCTCTCTGTCTGTGCATGGCCTTGTTGCATTTCGCCTGGCATTGTCTAAGTTTTTGCAGGCCCCGTTTGGCTTTTTGCGTTTCTGGCCAGCCTGGCCATCCTCTGCTGCGTCCTTCTGGCCAACGAAGTGCGCTTAACAAATTATCCAACAGAAATTCTTGCGCTTCATTAAAAGTAAAAAATGACGCAGCATAGAACCAACTTTTCCTCACCCTTATGCCAGCCTCAGCCTCTGCTCCTCTGCTCCTGCTTTTCTCTGCTTCTTGGCTTGGTTTACTAAATGAAAATATATTAAACGTGTAATTGTTTTATCTCATTGCTCGTTTTCCCCGCCTGCCAAGTGCATTGCTTTGCGAAATTTCTGTTTTCGGCTTCGTTTGATTCGGGATCCAACGCAGAGGAGCGTTGACAATCCGCTGTCCATATTTTCCATCATCTGGTACGAGTATCTTCCTCCTCCCGGCTGACATGACTTTTCAATTTGCCGTTGGTGCACCGGAAATGCCAAAGCTTCTCGATTTTGCTTAGACAAGGATAATGGCTTTCCTGCTTTTCTGCTGTGACGTGCTCGTCAGATACAGTATCTATGTATGCATATACGAATAACGTTCCTTTTCTGCGCGCTGCAGTAAGTATCCATCCATATACCTTATCGCTGAACTGCAGTTTTCTGTTTCACTGCGGCGCTGGCAGGGAAAAGTTTCTGACAAGCGCTTTAAAGCGCATCCATGGCTGACACTTTTTTATGAAATATATACAGTACAAGGACGATGGAGATGCAGACGGCGACGGTGTACGGCGAAGACGACTCTGCCAACGGCAAAGTTTCCAACTTTTGCCGCGCCGTGCAGTTAATCGAGATTTTTGTGTGCGAAATTTATGATTTCCGCTGTGGAAGCCAACTTCTATCAAGAATTTCTGTGTTCGGTGGATATCATGTTCGGTCTTTAAAGCACGAGTTATGGGCACAGTGAGCCACTTTTTCAGTGGAACTTTTTTGATAGTTAACTTTAAAAGCAAAGTTAAACTACAGATATGAACTTTTAAAAGCTGAATCAGTTTAATCAAGCTGAGAATGCTTCTGAAAAAATAATATCTACTTCACTTCACCGTTAATATTGTATGTCCTACTAGTTGCAAACTTATCTAAAAAAAAAAATAAGTTAAATATTTTAAACTATCCAAAAGCGTCTACAAAAGAATGTACATCAAAACTTTTGAAATTATGATATAATAATTTAATTAATACAAACTTCATATAACTGTGGTAGTATTTATATTCCTCCCAAACGGCTCTTGGCCTTTGAACGAATATAGCAAGAAACATGCGAAATAATAGAGGGAACAGGAATAGAGAACAGGCGAACGAACCCAACAAGATAACGAAAATGTGCATGTGAGCATGTCGCAAGCGCGTAAATCCCAATCACAAGAGGAACGACAAATCCTCCCATGACCTTTCATTATATTTTCATCCTGGTTTTTAATACAACTTATTACTACTAATAAATTCAACAGACAATACATTCTGACCAAAAATGGGGACTGAAATTGAGAATTCTATGAATAACAAATGACCAGTATTAGGGATTTTCCTTTATATACTTTCCAAATCAAATCAAACTTAATTTTAAAGTAGTATTCCCTTTTTTTGTTTACAAGTGGATTGAACAATGTCTGGACAATGGCAGCCCCTGCGTCAGTGCGTGTGGGAGTGGGCACGGTGGTCGCATCCTTTTAGCGTTTGGGCCGCTGTCTGTGCCTTGAAGCGCATTCAATGGTGTCCTGCTCGTCCGTCTGTGGGTCCACATGAAAGAGTCTCCGCCTGTGCTCAATCGCAGTGCTTAAAGCATTTGAAGCCCTCTTTTGTGTCTGCGTCATTTTTTTTTTTTTTTCAAAGGGTTGAGCTCGTTAAGCCTCAAACAAAAAGCGTGACTCGTTCTATCGGCGACCGAGGGATTTTATGGGCAGCTTATCGCCCGCCGGCCGTCAATAGATTGATGGTCAGTTGACAGTTTTCCGGCTGCAACAATATGCAATTTACCAAAGAGAGCACCAAAAAACTCCACCAAACGTTTATATATGAAAAATGCCCTTGCTAATGTTGGGTCAGAAAAAAGGCAACCAGTCCCCAAAGTGGCCATTGACTAGGTCCGTGTCTCTTCCGCTTGTTGCAGCCGTACATTTTATTAATTACCGGCAACCGCAAACTGCATGTTGTATGCCCTCTGCCTGCGGTTTGGCTTTAATTAATATTTTTTACTCATGCTACCCTGTGAGTGGAGGGATGTTTTAGACTCTTTACTAGCTTACCATTAGCATAGGATTTAAGCATTTTAAAATATACATAAAATGCCAAAGAAAGCCACGTCCAAATCACTCTAACTAGAATCTGCTTTTGAGGTGTTTTTTTCTTAACAAGAGGCCAGAGTTCCGACCATGAAATTATTTGCGAATGCAAAAAGAAAAGTAAAGAAGAACAGCAGATCTATCTTAAAACTCTTTTTGCTCCTGGAGCATTAGATCAGAGGGACTACCTCTCGTTTTTTGAGCGTAGATCATAGGCTTTCTAAGCCGGGTATGACACATATTTTTTCAAGAGACCAACAAATTATGTCATGTATAAATGTTGGATAAACACGACCATAAATCACAAAACACAATGACAACACTGAAGACAAAATTAAACACTCACCTTTGCTGGAAAACCACACATCGATTACTTCGTACTGCCAGCAAATACCACTCAGAATACTCAGATCAGTAGCGTCTGCTTTCTGTCCAAGTTTACGTGGGGGTGCCCACAACCGGCACGATTCCCCTCAGTATCCTCGGGACTATGTACATTCCCGTTTAACAACGAGTTTGTATGTACGTTCGATTTAGTTCTAGTTAATTGAGTTAAAATTTGGCATACAAATTGGAGATCGAAGACACAATGAGTATCAATTAGTTGAGCCGGCTATGTCTGTCACATTTAATTATTTCACATAATATTAATTTTGCTTTTGTGCCAGCCACAGCCCAGACTTTGGGCAGGGCAAATGGCAAGAGCATCGACACTTTGCATAATTTATAGCACTTGTCTATTGTCGTACTCCACAGAACTCACATATGCATGCACATACATACATACTTTCATATGAATGCCTTGTTTCGATTTCAAATTGGATTTAAAACTTAATTTGAGACACAGGGGCGGAGGGGAGGTGTCGCTGGGACAGCTGCATGCCAGTCTGTTTGCTTAGTTAAATCTTAATCAAGTTGCTTCGTTGATTTCGATTTGTGGAGCGCATAATAAATGACGAGTCCTTCGTCCTTCGTCCCTCGTCCTTTTCCCACATTATCCACATCCTGTTCTGTTGTGTCCTGCCAGACACACAGGCAAGCCGAATCAACGCCAAGGAATCATACAAAAATAACACAAAAATCCACTCAAGTGTTAAAACAAAACCAACAGAAACGAAACAGTGCCGAGCGTTAACGGGGGACAAGACAGAGTTGGATGTAGGTATATCTGTATGTTTTGGGTTCGTACATATATTTCAAGTCCTGCCAAGTCTGTGCGCCAAGTCCTTAACTGATTTCCCAGCGCAAACAAGTTGGCTCTGCTGTCCCCTGTCCCACTTCTTTGTCTCGCATAAAAATACAAAGTTTATGTTATGAACACAAATAAAAAGAAAGGAAAAGCACAGGACAAAGCTCACCAAAGAACAACAGAAAGTGCTCGTGTTGGTGTATGGCAGAAAGAAACGTATAAAATACAATAAAATGGAATAAAATATCCACAACACAGCTAGAAGAGAGTCATTTATACAGAGCTGAACTCGACTGAACAGAGCCGAGTGGCGCAGGCTCCTCCCTCTCCTCCTCTCAGCAGTATATTTGCAAGTTGACGTGTCTGCTGTCCCCATTTTCCAAATCCACTGCCATGCGAGTGCGCCACCAGACATCAACCACAACACCACAACACCACAGCACCACAAACTCGTGCACGATAGAACAGAACCCCTATGCGGATGAGGCTGCGGATGGTCCGGCGATGACACTTACTCAATTAGGTGCCATGACTTGGCGCTGGCTTGACACTGATTTGCCTTTCATTTGTCCATTCTATTTCCCGTTTTTATGGTCCTGGTCCAGATCCAGCTCCGTCTCGCCCCGTCCACTTCGTACCATTAAATTTAATAGCCCTCTCTCTTCGTTTACCTTGATTAGTTTATCTGTCTTTGTGTTGGTTTTTCATCAGGGAGATTGCTTTTGCTTTTCAATTTTTGAAATAATCCAATAATCGGGCACAAAGTCTACATACAAATTGGCAAAAACTATGTTGTACTTAAAGTCTATAAAGAATGAAATATTAAATAAATATTCGGTGTAGAATTCAGTTCACATATGTAGGTATTAGCTTTGTAGGGGAATGTGCAGCTCAATAAGGACCCAAATAGTGTCTAGGAAATACCTGTATATATATTTTGAAATAATACTGAAACCGTGATGCAGGGCATGCAAATTTAAAATATGGGATGGGAATATAATATTCAGAAGAGTCAATGGAACGAATTATAGTTTTACTGTTTCTTATGTATAATACAAGTGAAATACATATATTTTCATAAATTTGG